CGCTTCCCGCGTCCTCGGGAGAGGACGGAGAGGCCCCGGGCCCCAGCCCCTAGTGGGAGTAGAAAAGCGGAGGGCTGGCGGTGACCTCCCCAGGGCCCCTTGACCTTACTTGGGTGAACCCTTTGGTGCCAGAGGGAAGGGCGTGAAAGCGGCGACAGGTGCCCAGGGAAGAAGTGGACAGGTGGGGCGAGGGCCACGTGCGGCCTCCTGTGTTTTTGAGCACACAGACCTGATCACTACTCCCTGGAGGCCAGTGCCATGCACCAAGCCTGGGTGTAGCCCATGAGAGCTGTTTTCACACATGCTCAGAAATTGCCACCCCTCTCCCCCGCCAAAGGTGGTTTAAAATGGCAGGAACCAGTGTGCCATCCAGAAGCAGGAGGACCAGTGCCTCCACTAGTGGTCCACCAGTGCCAGCATTTGCAGAAGCCACACCTAATGCCGAGTGTGGGGACCCTACTGGGGCCTGAGGCATTTTGAGGGTGAAGAGTGTGGGAGCACCTGGCTGCACAGACCTCCTGAGGGCACAGGACAGTTCTCCCCAGGTAGTGCTGGGGTGAACACTGGCCTGAGTGACACACACGTACACACCAAGCCTGGCCTTTTCCACCTCATTTTTATAGCTCCTCTCCACTTCCCTGGGTTTCCTTGAAATCACAGCCTTACAGTGAATCCTTAAGAAATAGGACTGTTAGTCTGGATTTGAAAAGGGAAAAATACAAAATTTTCTCATTTCTTATATCTATGATTACTACTTTTGCAGCAAAGTTACCAAGAAAGAACATATAAATATGTTTAGTTTTGAAGACAGATGCAACAGTTATTTCTCCAGAAGACAAACTTTAGAAAGTAACCATAGTTGCAAGGCTAATAGCTTATCTTAGAATAATTATATTTGAAAAGGAACTCTGTGCGCTGAGGATGTAGCTCTGATATTTTTTTCATTGTTATTGATGCAGAAGGCCTCGAAAGAAAAATCATACTTTACAGACTTGAGGGAGATTTGGAACAGCTTCTGTGATTGTGCGCAGTGACTTAAGTGCTTCCCAGGCTCAGTTTCTCGTTTGCAAAGCATGGCTCACTCTGGCTGGCTCACCTGATGTTCAGGTGCACAGATCAGGTGATTTGGCCAACTGTTCACTCGGTACATCTCTACAGAAGGACACTTTCATGTGCCCAGCACTGAGTAAGAGAAAGCCTGGGGGACCCCAGTTCAGGCAGGTAGGGGAGGCAGTGTAGACAAGAAGCAATAGGAATCCTGGGTAAGACAGTGGTGAGGGCATGAAGGAGAAAGGACAGGGGTGGGGCTGCCAGGCGGGCAGGATGGTGCACCCAGGGAGCTGGGCCAGAAAGGTCACCTGAGGAGGGGCGTTTGAACGGAGACCAGTGCTATGAGGCAGCCTCTTGGAGAACAGAAGGAATTCATCCCAGACACGTGCCTGACAATTGCAGAGGCCTTGGGGTGGGAATGAGCTTTGGGCCTCAAGGATGGAGAGGCCAGTGTGGTGAAGAGGAGGGGAGGCAGCAGGACCGCATTTTTATTCTGAGCACCACAGGTTCCCCTGGGGGCTTGGAGCAGGGCTGGAGCAGGGTCTGTGTTCTTAGATGACCCTATGGCTGCTGAGTGGGTGTGACAGGAATCCAGGCCCAACAGGACTTCATTCGAACAGGTGTCCACAGAGGGGAGCCAGGTGGGGACTGAGCTGTCCATGGGTAGGGCAGGCCCTGCCCTGGTGAGATGGGTACAGTGGGCCATGGCACAGCGGCTCACTGAGGTGCAGAGTACTGCTGGGCCCTCAGGGGTGGGTGGTAAGGGGACCGCAGGGCCCCAGAAGCCAGGCCACCTTCAGCCGTTCCTGTGGGTGGAACCCCAGTTCAGGCAGGTAGGGGACGCAGTGTAGACAAGAAGCAATAGGAATCCTGGGTAAGACAGTGGTGAGGGCTTCCAGGTGGGCAGGGATGATGCACAGGGCTGGGTGCCATGGGCCTGTCCTCCAGGGACTCCTACTGAGGAAGGACCCCTCCTGTTACAGAGCAGGAGACTCATGGTGAGGGCAGGGGCATGGGCCCTTGGTCCAGCTATGTGGCGGGGACAGACCTTCAGTGACTTGCAGGGTCCTGCAGGCTGACTGCAGCTATGTGCTTGGCACTGTTGGGGGCAGCCCAAGGCCCGTGTGCAGACCTTCCACTCCGTCTCACCTGTTCCCAGGCCACAGGTGCTCGTGTGCTGGGGAGGAGAGCTGCAGAGGGGAACGTTTGTCCACCCGGGACTGGTGGGAAGAACACCCGTCCACCTGCTTGAGCACAGCTTGCTGTGAGGTCGTGATGTTTGTTTGGTGCTGTGGGCAACACAGCAACGGCCGGAAGCAGCCAGCCAGCCTGCGGTCCTGCAGAATCAAGGCCAGTGTCCTGACACACTGTGTGTCGCAGAAAGTTGCAGTGAGGCATCAGTAGAGGAGACTCAAGCACAGCGTGTGGCACTGGGCTTGAGTTCTGCAGTGGCGGAAGCAGGAATGGATGGAGCAGAAGTGTGGTCAGCTTCCTGTGGCCACAGAAGGGTTTGTTCACATGTGCTGTAGATAGCAGGCCATCCCAGCGTAGGTGCAGATATCAGTAGATTTACAAGAGTGACAATGGTTTTATTTTAGAAAGTCAAGTTATGTCCCTTGTAGCTCCCGAAACTTGGTGTGAACAGGGCAAGCTGTCAGCTGAATGCAGGAAAGAGCAAGACCCTGGTGGAGAGAGGTGAAGAGATTCCCACACAACGTAGCAGGCATCAGGCTGCCACAGAGAGGGCCTGGGAAGGAGCAAGGGCTGTGCCAGGCACTGGCTTTGTTCAGAACCAGAGGGAGGGAGGACCAAGGAGCCGGCCTGGGTCATCCCACTGTGGAGGCTTGGGATGCTAGATGGAGGGGCGGCCAGTAAAGGGGCCAAGGAAGGAGCGTCCAGCCAGAGGGAAAGTGACCAGGAGACTGTAGCTCAAGAAAGATGTCCAGGGGGACCGGGGCCTCCCTGCTGGGAGTCACTGGAGGAGGGACCGACAGGGGCAGGGGTCTGGTGGAGCCAGAGGCAGCCCGCTCACATGCCAAAGGAGGGGTGAAGTGGGCTAGTCCTCTAGGAGGACTTCAGCAGTAGAAGGGACAGAGAAACGGAGATTCGCGTGGGGAAGGGAGCTGCAGGCACACAGTGTGTGCTAGTGCTGGGCTCTGAGTGTCTTGGGTGCTGTAGGGAGAGGTGTGGTGTGTCGTGTGGCAGTCGTAGCCAAGAGGGCTTTGGGCAGGAGGGGCATTTGGGTTGGGCTTTAAGAACTGAATAGGAGTTTGACAGATGGAGGGCAGTTTCTGCCTTAGCCTGTTTTCTGCTGCTATCCCAGAATACAACCGACTAAGTAAATTATAAAGAAAAGAAATTAAACCTTAGAGCTCTAGAGGCTGGAAGCTCAAGATCACGGTGCTGGCGTCCGCTGAGGCCTCCATGAGGCCTCCTCCGTCCATGTGAAGATGGTAGGGTGCACACCTTTCTCTCCCTCTTGCATGGTGAGAGTGTGTGAGAGAGAACCTGCTTTTGCAGTCTGTCAGGCGTTGCATCCTGGGTGTCCCAGATCTGTGGGGTGGATGAGCTCTGGTGGCCCTCGGCTTCCCGTTGCCACAAACTCGAGTGGAGGTGGGATTCTCAGAGGCCCTGCTCCTCTCTGCCTGGTGTGCGCTGTCTGTCCTCCCTCTGCTTGGCCTGTTGGCAGTGCAGCAGTCTGGGCTTCAGGTCACATGTCACTTTGCCCAAGCATTGGAAACCTCCACCTCGGCCGAGTGACACGGCTCAGGTGCAACAGCGCTGTCAGCCACTGACTTGCCCAGCGGGACCATTTGGGTTCTCGCTCCCACCACTCTGGGGAGGAAGGACACCTGCCCCAGGGCCCTGCCTTTGAGAAGGGTGTGCACAGGTATTGTAACTCAGGTCTTTGCTCTTTGTAAGTGTAAATGTGTGAATTCGTGATTTTGTGGGTTTAGTGGACTCATTAGTTATGCTGCTAGTGCCTGTAGCGTGAGCAAAACCTGCTACTCCAGCACTGTTGGGCAGCAAGCCTGCCGCAGCCCCACCGACCAGGCTGCTCAATGCAGACCTGGCGGGTTGGGTGCTGACCCAGGTGAGGGTCCACTCTGCCTCTGTCCATGTGGAGATGGTAGGGCGCACGCCTTTCTCTCCTCTTGGCCCAGAAATTCCTCTTAAAGAACCAGAAGTGAAAATGAGAGCGCAGACGTCCTTTTGGGCGAAGCCAAGAGGTTCAGAAAGAGAACAGAGAAGAAATTCTAGAAGAAAAAGTGACAGAAACCTCAGGGCTCGGGACACAGTGTCAGGCGGAGAGGGCTGCCCCCAGGCTGCCCAGCGTGACGCTGAGGCCGACCTTCCAGGGTACTGTGGTGGAGTGGCACCTGGGGCCTCTGCCAGCCGCAAAGAGATCAGACTGGTGGCTGTGGGGACATCCAGAAGACAGACCTCCAGGTCCCTGTCAGCCAGGGAAGCTTCAGGGAGAATGTCCCCAGATCCAGGGAGTGGACCCAGGAAAGGAGATAGTGGGCAGGAACAGGCCCACAGCTAGGAAGCTGCGGAGGATGTGGGAGGGCGGCCCTGCTGCCCCTGCTCCACAGCATCTGCAGGGCCTCTGCACATAGGCACAGCGTCCAGACCCACCCAGGCCCGCAGGAGACAGCTGAGCACACCCAGTACTGCGGCTTCCCTGTGCAGCAGAGCGTCATCGCACACGCACACAAGGCAGCAAGCAGAACTAGGCACCAGAACCAAGCCAGCCCGAAACAAGCAGCGGACTTCAGAGGCGGGCTGGAGACGTATGGCACACGTGTTGGTGCCCCAGAGGTTTTCAGAGTCATCCGTCCCACACTCTGACTTACCCTGACCTGGGGGGATGCCAGGTGAGCATGCGAGCTCGTGTGTCCCGTGAACAAACGCTGGCTAAGGGGCAGCAGCAGAGGCCACAGGACAGCCAGAGAGCAGGCTGGAGATCTGCCTGTGGGTCTGGGGGCGGGACAGGGATTGACATACTGGGATGACAGGGGACCAAGCATCCCCAGCCCCATTCAGTTGAGTGTCAAGTCACCAAGAACCATAGGGGAATGGACGCCTGAGGAGCAGTCTCGTCAAACTGGGGTCTGGCTGGTCACCATCTCCCAACGCTGTGAGGTCCTGACGTCGTTATTGCCCCAGGAGCCTCCAGTTCCCCTCGGGGGCCACCTGCCTGCAGGACTCACTCTTCCTCTTGACCATATGGTAGCTGCCGTTCCCTGTCCTCAGTCTTGAAGGGGGACAAGGTCAGTTAGGTCATCACTTAGGGTCGGTCCACCTGCAATGCCAGGTTTTAGACAGACCTCCGTAGTGGTGACCGCGTCTGTGTGCAGAGCTGAGCGGGCTCCACCCCGCAGTTTGATGTGGGAGGACAGATACCAAAGGAAGGCACCTTGGGCTGGGCGTTGGGTGTCTGCAGGCCCAGCGAGGAGTCCACACCTTGAGCAGATGCAGTGCTCAGTCCCTGACTGCGGCAGAGGCCCACTGTCTGGTGCCCGCTGTAGTCTAGGACATGTGCAACAGGACTCTAGAGTGCCCACTCTGCTCTCCTGGGCCACTATGGTGACAGGGCCAGGTGGGGAAGCAGAGGCCAAGGAAGTGGTGTGTGGCGACGTCTGTAGGCAGAGCAGCGCCGGACCTGCGGCCTGGGAACCTGTACCAGGCCTGCCGCGCCCCCGGCAGCTGGGTCTGCCCTCCTCTGAAGCTGCCGAGAAGGCCGGGGAAGAAAGGGTGAACCCCGGCGGAGAGCAGCGCAGGGCCGGGCGGCCCAGAAGCGAACCCGTGAGGTGTGGGGAGCCCCTTCCTTTGGCGAGAAGAGGGCACTGTGTGCCGGGGAATGAGGTCAGGAAGAGGGAAGCTACAGAATGGTCCAGGCCAGGATCATGAGTTCCAGCTTTGTTGGGGGCGTAGCCAGGGAGCCAGCTGGATTTTGCCCTGTGCCCGCAGTGTTGAAAGTGTGCTGTCTACACCTGGACTGCCACAGTGCTTAGGTCGACCCAGGTGTGGCAGCGCTGGAGGAGGAGGGAGTATGGGGAGGAGGAGGAGGCGGAGGACACTTGTGGCACTGATGGCCTAGAGTTTAAGCAGGGCCCAGGCACGCAGAGAGTCCAGTTAGCCTCTCGTGGTACAGAGGAGGAGACAGGCTGAGGGGGGCCATGACCAGCTCAGGTGCTTCACTTCTAGCACGTGGCGGTAGCAGGTGTGCCTGGGCTCTGGCCGCCAGTCCCTTGCAGCAGGACCCCAGAGCCCAGCTGTGGACTGTGGCTCCTCGCTTGCCAGTCAGTGTGCCTGGGAAGTGCCCTCTGCCCAGGTATGTTCAGGGGCTGTCGTCCTGAGCAGAGTCTCTCAGATCTTGACCTTGGCCTGCAGCTATGCAGCACCCTCGGGACTGGGGTCTGCAGTGGCCTCTCAGAATGGCCGCAGAAGTCCTCTCTGCTTACCTGCTGACCTATCTCCTCTTTCAGAACTGTGTTGTGCATGTTTTTGAAGATGGTTTGCTTGCTTCTTCCCTTAGTGATCCCTCCCTTCGTCTCTAGGCCTGTCACCACTGTGGCTGCCACGGAAGCTCCGGTGTGAGTGGTCACACAAGACATTTGCTTGAGGTCCACTCTTCCTGCCACAGCAAGGGAGGCCCTGGTGTCCTGGCCTGTCCTGGGGCAGCGCACTTTAGACCTGGGCTGTGGGGGTCTCCCCTGGGGCCGTGGGAGCCCTTGCTGGCCCCACGGAGTCCCATCGAAGTTCTGGATGGGGTCAGGGTTTACATTTCCAGGAAATTCCAGGCCACACTGGTCCTGCTGGCTCCTGGTTCGGGGTCCACACTGAGCACCGCTGGGGAGGCAGGACTGGTGGTCAGAGAACAGATGCTCATGCTTTCTGTCTGTTTTCCTCCCTTTTGTGTGCACCAGAGCATCCTGTGACCTCACTGTGGGGGTCCTGTGGGCCAGATACGGGACTGGACTCCCCCTTCTCCATCGGCACGTGCGGGGCAGGGGAGGGTGCCATTTTCCTGAAGGCAGATGTGCTGTCCCTGCCGCTGCCCGGGGAGGCAGTGGTCTCTGTCTTGGGCTGCGAAGAGCTGTTCAGAAAGGCCACCCTTTGGGGACCAGGTTACTGAGAGTGTTGTCCCCAAAGCTGTTGGATGAGCGCCACGTGAGAAGCACCCGCCCCCCTGCTGTGTCTTGGAACTTCTCCTCCAGCCCCTCAGCCAGGTGTCCTCTCCCTGCAGCTCTGCGGGCACATAGAGGGCGGGGCTGCCTGAGGTGCAGGTCAGAGGCAGCTGCTGCCCCAGAAAGAGGCGGCCAGCCGGCCTCGGTGGACTCCGCGAGAACGAGTCCCTGCTCTCTCTGCTCCAGTTCTCACATCATCAGGCTCTGTGCCCTGCTGGGGTCTGACTGCAGCCCCGGGTGGCCTCCCGAGACCTGGTGTTCCCGTTACAGAAGCTCCCGACCCAGGCAGAGCGGATGGGAGGGGAGGGTTCCTGTGGCAGGTGTGTGGGTCCTCAGGCCCAGTGCCACAGGAGCCGCCGTCAGAGCAGCCCCCAGCCCACCCCGCGCATCTGCCTCCTTGTCTGTCACGGTTTGGATCTTAATGTCCCCTAAAACCTGTGTGTTAAAGGCGTGGTTCCAGCCAGCGGTGCTCATGCTTCACAGCTCTCTGTCGGTGTGCACATGCTCAGGGGGCCCGTGCAGTGAGGGGAGGGTACGCCGTGGCTGTCCCTGGCTTCTTACAGGAGACCCGGCAGCCCACCTCCTCAGCCTCATGTCCGTGTAGCTGATCCCTCTCATCATGGAGTGCTCTGCTCTGCTCCGTCCATGACCACACGTGTGCTCAGTGAACCCAAATGTGCGTCTGGGCTTCCTGTTGCCTGCTTTTCAATCTCCCAGCTGCTGGGGCCGGTGGGTGGAAGGAGAGTGGGGTCAGCATCGGGAACCAGCATGCACACTTTCCTGATAAGAGGCCCAGCAGAGGACCCAGAGGGTAGGTGGGAGGGGTGCAAGGCCATGGGGGGGGCCTGCACCCCGCAACCCAGCATGGAGGTGGTTTTAAGGTGGCCCCCAAAGGATAGGTGGGAAACAGAAGGGGCCAGATTTGACCAAGGTCTGCGTGGAGCAGGGGAGCCTCCGCGATGTCATGTGTAGGGAGTTTATGGGACCCGAGGCACAAGGAGAGACAGGGAAACCAGCTGCATTAGACATGACTGCCCCTGGGAAGGAGGACGGAGGAGGGGCAGTGTGAAAGCTGGGAGCTGGTGTCTGTGTCACCAGTGGACACAGGCCTAAGGTGACGAGGTGGAGTCTGAGTCACGAGGACTCCTAGTCTCAGGCCCTTCCCATCCTCTGGGTCCATTAAGAACAGTGATATTTTAGTGAGGAAGTGTCCCAGAGACCTCCCCTGAGCGGTGCTGCCCGCTGTTCCTTGCAGCACACAGACGTCCCTGCATGGGTCAGGGGAGGCCTGGCTGGGCTCTGTGTTTAAAAACGCTCTTCTGGCTGGGCACGGTGGCACAGGCCTATAATCCCAGTGGCTTTGGAGGTGAGACAGGAGGGTTGCGAGTTCGAAGCCAGCCTCAGGAACTCAGTAAGCTGCTAAGCAGCACAGTGAGACCCTGTCTCTAAATAAAGTACAAAATAGGGCTGGGATGGGGCTCAGTGGTCCAGTGCCCCTGGGTTCAATCCATGAAACCAAAAAAATCCAAAACCAAAAACGCTGGGTGGGGGAGCACATCAGTAATTGGTTCTCTTGTGTCCTGACAGGTGTGGAGATGGCCGAAGATGGCAGCGAAGAGATCATGTTCATCTGTAAGTGACTCGCAGACCCATCTGGGCCAGGAACACAGAGGGCTGGACACTTGCTATCTGGGCAAAACCACTTCCATTAAAAACAAAAACACAGAAGTTTTTTCCTTTTAAACTGCTTGGAGGACGTGGCTCGATGCACAGCAGTGCCCTGCCCGGGTCGGGTGTCCAGGGTCATCGTCCTCAGGACTCCTGCAGGGTCGAGTTGCAGAAACAGAGTCCGGGGTTTAGAGACAGGGGCGCATGTTGGGTTGACAGGCAGGCTGGTGCTTGCCTGGCCTCCCACCATCCTCAGGACTTTCTGGCACCCTGCCCTTGGGAGGGTCCTGGTCTTGGCCTCCACGGAGGTGATGTGGGACTGGGATGCAGAGCTGGAGCTCTTCTGGGGAGGGGCATGTCTGTGTAGGCTCTGTTTGGGGATTACAAAGGGGAGCCGTGCTCTGCAGGGTCCCTGCGTCCTGGGCTTGTGGCTTCAGATGTCTCCCTCCCTGTGCACTGTGCCCTCCGACACTCCGTGTCTGTTTGCAGGGTGTGAAGACTGTAGCCAGTACCATGACTCCGAGTGTCCTGAGCTGGGCCCGGTGGTCATGGTCAAGGACTCCTTCGTGCTGAGCAGGGCAAGGTGAGTGATGGCCTTAAGTTGCCTCATAGCCCTGTCTGTGGCGGGTCCTCTGTGGGGCGGGTGTCTATAGACAGGAGTGGGGAGCCAGGGGAGTGAGTCCTGTGCAGTGTGAGCAGGGTGCTGGGCGAGCGCAGGAGATAGAGTGGGAGGTTCTGGGGGCCGGGCCACCTCCGGGCAGGCTGCATTTTTTACGCCCCGAGCAGCAGTGGCCAAGCTGTGGGTCTGCTTCTGGGATTTCCCCCGGGTTCTGGATCTAGACCTGCCCATTGACAGGTGCAAACCACAGGCAAGGTGGCTGGGTGGCGGCCTGGGCAGGGAGGCCAGGCCACGGCAGCCCCTGAAAAAGCACCTGCAGGTGTGTGGAGGTGTCTGTGGCCACGGCTGCTCCCCATCCCTCACTATGCAGGCTGTGCCCCTGGGGCCAGAGCCAGGGAGGCCAAGCCAAGTCTGCCACGTGTAGCCCTGTGAACTTGGGCATGGTGTGTTCCTTCCCAAGACTTGGTCATCTGTGAAATGTAGAGAAGGTATGGCTAGGCTGTGGGCTGTGGTCTCACCTGCGATGGTGCCCGGCTCAGGTGAGGCTGAAACAATGGCTGTTGGCACCTCAGTGCAGTTTCTGGAGCCCCCAGCTGCCCCACCCCAGCCCACTTATTTGTTTGCTTCAGAGAGACTTAGTGTATTCAAAACAAAGAGGTGAATATTTTTTGTCCAAAGCAGAGAGCTGATCAACTCTCCTCTTCCCCAAAGCCTCAGGGCATTGCCGGTTGTCCAGGAGCATCCAGGGGGACATTGGCCACACAGTCAGAGCCCCGGAGCTGGGCTCCTCACACCAGCCCAGCCCCCGCTTGCCCCCACGGGATCTGAGCTTCATTCACACCCTGTCTCCACTTGTGCTTCTGGCCACATCTTGGTCCAACCCTTGTCCCATGCCAAAGCCCCAGTTCATGTGGTCTTCTCCTCCAGCCCTGCCCTTGACCTTCTCGGTTAATTGAAAAGGCCACTTCAGTGCTCAGGAAGAGTACTGTTCTGTGGTGTGCATGTACCGATGCGTAGCAACAGATCCCGCCACCTCGTACAGCTGTGATGCACCAGTAAAAAACATGGTGGAAAAAAGGCCACGTCTTCAGTGAGACGGCGGCCCGACCTCTTGGTACCCTATTCTGGTCCTTGGCGTGCCCGACCCCTTTAAGTTCTTCCTCCCGCCCTTGAAGGCAACAACCCATCTTAATTGGGCTCCCTGTCTTTTGTGGGATTCTTAACCATGTCCTTTGGTGAACATCGTGGGCACAAGCCAATCTGCCTGGCCTGGAGGTGGCCTCTGGGTGACCAGGCCTGGGGGTCATTAATCATCTGGCCGCAGTGCTGTGGAGCAGCTGAGGAGAGCTCTCCTGCTGCCGTTGGAGGGTCACCTCAGCACCTGGTGGTGGTCAGGGAGGAGCTCCCAGGCCTGAGCTTGCTGCTGCCCGGGGGCAGGCAGGCAGAGCCTCCCAGGAGTCATGTCCTCTCCCTCCCAGGTCCTCCCTGCCTTCCAACCTGGAGATCCGGCGTCTGGAAGATGGGGCGGAAGGTGTGTTCGCTGTCACGCAGCTGGTCAAGCGGACGCAGTTTGGCCCCTTCGAGTCCAGGAGGGTGGCCAAGTGGGAGAAGGAATCCGCGTTTCCCCTGAAGGTGAAGCTGCTGCAGGTTTCGGGACTGAGGGCTGGTGACCGTTCCTGAGGGCACGGCCAGCGAGGGCTGCTGAGTCCAGTGATTCCAGACCTTGGAAACAGCCGGGGGATGTTGTGTGGATTTGCAGGAAAAGCTCAGGCGAGGGGCGGGGTCTCCCTCAGTGAGGGACCATGGTCAACTAGAACATAGGGGCCCTGCCCCGTGGGATTGCCTGGAACCACAGAGTACGTGGGTTCCCCTGCCCGGCCTGCGTCCGCTCACCAGGCTGTGGGCTGTTTCAGACCTGGGCCCTGAGCAGGAGGTCCCCTCGGGTCCCGGGTAGAACTCGGTATCCTGTAGACACAGAGGCCGCCCACTGTGTCTCCTGCTTCCTTTGCCTATGGTCGCCCATCCACCCCTTCCACGCGGTCTCCCTTTGACTGCACACCTAGGCCCCTGCACGGGTCCTGTGGAGCCCCTAGGCCTGGGGCGCGATGCACCAGGCGGGCCCCTGAGACCCCGCTCCTGGCCGCACCCCAGGTGTTCCAGCAGGACGGCCACCCCGTGTGCTTCGACACCTCCAACGAGGATGACTGCAACTGGATGATGCTGGTGCGGCCGGCAGTGGAGCCCGGGCACCAGAACCTGACGGCCTTCCAGCACGGCAGTGACGTGTACTTCACTACCTCGCGGGACATCCCTGCTGGCGCTGAGTTGCGCGTGTGGTATGCGGCCTTCTACGCCAAGAAGATGGACAAGCCCATGCTGAAGCAGGCCTGCTCCAGTGTCCACGGTGGGTCCTGAGACCGTCTCCCAGCTCCTATGGGCAGGGCGGGCCAGGTGGGTGGGGAGACAGAGGGCAGCACACACAGCGAGGCCTGCTCAATGGGTCTGTGGTCCTGCTTGTCAAGCTCAGGTGACAGGCAAGGGAAAGCTTCCACTCCTTGGGATTCTTGCTGGTGAGGAGTGCCACCTCGGCCCCTCCAGGTAAATTGGGGCTCTTGGATAGGATAGGGGACCATGACCATGCGCTTGGCCTCCCATGGTGACTTGTCCCCCCAGTGCTGTGTGGGGAATTTATCCCTGAGGTCAGAGTGGTTCAGGAACGGGCCCAAGGTCAGTGTAATAGGAAAGGAACCTCCACCGGAACCCCAAATCCAGCTGCAGTCTTGCTGCTCTGCCCCAAGTAGCAGCCTGCACCCTGCCTCGGGGACTGTGTGTATGCATATGCACATGTGTGTAGGTGTGAGTGCCATGCCTAGGCATGTGTCTTAGTGTGGGTGCATCTTAGGTGTGCGTGGTACATAGGCATGTGCACATCTGTGCAGGGGTGCCTAGGCATGAGCGTGTCTTCCTGTGTGTAGGTGCCTAGGTGTGTGCATCTTAGGTGTACAGGGGTGCTTAGGCGTGTGTCTGTGTGTTGGTGCATACACAAGCATGTTTTGGTATTGTGCGTAGGTGCATAGGTACACAGGTGTGTGTACAAGTTTGTATGTGCAAGGAAAGACTCGGCAGGTGCCATACAAGTAACCTGTCTGCCCCGTGTGTCTGCTGGAGAAGCAGATCCACGGTTTTGGTGCTGGTCAGGTCTGGCACATCTCCACCCCAGAAGCAGGGTGGGTGGGATTCCAGGTTGTCCTCTCCACATTGTGGGCATGGGACCTCGTCACGTAACTTTAAGAGACTTTGTGAGATTATAGGTATTGGACATTCTGACCTGCAAAGCAGTGGTCTCCTGCGGCTCTCAGGACCCCTGCCCAGGGAGCTCAGGGTACCTGTTGTCATCGTGAGGAGTGGCTGCCCCCAGGAGTGGACGCCAACTCTCCTTCTTACTCTAAAGTGAAGGGAGTCTCACTTGAGAATGGTCTTTCTTAGCACAGTCATGGCGTGACATAAGCAGCCACATGGGACAGTCTTGTGTCCTGCTTGCTGGGGACTGCCGTGTGTCCTGCTGGCTGGGGACGGCCGTGTGTCCTGCTGGCTGGCGTGGCAAAGGTTTCGTGGACTGTGGCCTGGCACACGGGGAGCTGGGCGGAAGGGCACCCACTGCTCACTTTCTTCCTGAGGCCTCATAAGGGTGCGCCCAGTCCCACCGACTGGCAGACCCTGCAGAGGGTGGCTGTGACTCCGCCTCTGCTCTCTGGTTCCTCACCTGTGAAACGGGGTCTGTGTGCACAAAGCTGAGATTTGAGACTGCAGCCTGGGCTGCTGCTGCTGGCAAGTCACTGTCATAGTCACCCGCCAGGGTCTGTTCTCCCAGCTGGGGCTCTGTGGACCCTGGCCGCTCACCTCTGCTCCTCTGTCTCAGCTGCAGGCACCCCTGAGCACAGCGGCCCCGTGGAGTCGGAGCGCAGCCCGTGGGCTTGCAAGGTGTGCTCCAGCGCCTTCCTCGAGCTGCAGCTTCTCAACGGTAAGGGCAGCCGCTGGCGGGTGGGGGACGGCCGCCAGTGGCGGGTAGGGGGCATGTGCACACTACCTCTTCCCTGTGGCTCCCGGCCTGTCCCAGCTCTGTCCTGTCCGCCCGTGTTCCCTCCTCAGGGCAGGTCAGCCCCCCACTGTCATGGCCACACAGCCGCCTGCTGAGGGGCTTGAGGTGGGCGTGGGTCCCCCTGCTGTCCCTGCTCTGCTGCTTCCTCGCAGGGTGCTTGTCTGCTCAGGCTGCCTTACCCGTCTAGTGGCCGGCCGGGGACAGGATGGATTAGAGCCCTGTCCACAGGATGGCTGTGCTTGCGCAGGTATCTTCACTCTTCTGCGCGGGGAGGACTTTTCCCCTTGCCTCCCGGGCACTCTCAGGACCTTGTACTCTCTGTGGGATGTGGCCCAGGCGGCTGCTGGACTGGGGGTGCAGGATGACCCCTGCTCCATCACCTGCGGTTGGGACGTGCAGGAACCTGTGAGGGGCTTCCTTCCAGACCGGAAGGGGCCACTCTTTAGTGGCCATCTCTTAGAGACAGATGCTACTGGCTTTGGTGCTCTGGTCCTGTGTCCTGGGATGACCTTCTAACCATAGCCAGGGTGTATCGCACACTCGGCTTAGTGAGAAGCCTCTGTGTTTGTTGCAAGGTGGGAGCAGCAACTGCTTCTGAGCTTTCTAGGAATGCCATCTGAGATGGACAAGGTCCAGCCGCAGGGACTCTAGCAAGCAGGGCCAGCGCACCTGAGTGGAATGTGGTCATTCAGTTCACGAGCACTTCTTGTTTTATGCCTCCACTTTGGCGGTAGAGTTCTACCAGCACGCATTGACTGAGGTCTCCAACAGTCTCTGTGTGGCTCGGCACCCATTTGAGATGAGCATACTGAGGCCAGAGTGGACAATGACCTGCCGGGTCGTGCGTCAGCCCAGCCTGCCCCTGGCCCCTGCTGACCTCAGCCTACCCTACAGAACCCCCCACAGGATCACAGGCTTTCCTTTGTGCTATAGCCTCTCTTGGGGTGTCCTGTGGACAACCTGATGGCCCAGGAGCTGAGGGTGGAGGGCCCTGTGTGTCACCGTGGACTGGCACTGAGGACAGGTCCAAGCCTGTGGTGAGCCAGTCTGCAGAGGATGGACCATGCGTTTGCACCAGCAGTGCTGCCTTCTTGTCACAGGGAACACGAGGACTCCACGGTGCCACATGGCACATGGCCACACGGTGCCGAAGCTGCCCTCCACGGGGCAGTGTCTGGGAGGCCCACCTGTCTGACATGAGGAGGCTCAGTTTTTCAGCTTTAGGGTCCTGGAGGTTGGTTAACTTCCAAACCAACCTTGAACTTGAACTTCTGAGTTTCTCCTTCGCTGAACTTGGAGGAAGCGTGACTTCAGGCAGTTGGCTTGTGCGCTGCAGGCCACCATGCAGAGGGCCGGGACCCAGAGGCAGTTGTTAACTGGGGAAGTAGATGCTCTCGTCCTTTCCCCTGAGGGCCAGCTGTCATGGGTGCCACGGAGCCTGCTCATGCCTCAGAGTCCACCGAGGCCCTGGCTGGGGGGGAGCATCAGTGGGTGCACTAACTGAGTGCCCTCTGGAATCCTGCGGAAATGACGGGTCCATACAGAGTGGGGAGCGTGAGGCAGCAGGCCAGCCTGGAAGCTAGCTGTGGGACGGTGACGATTACCAAGCCAGCAGGAGCCGCTGACACCGGCCAGGACCCAGGAAGCACATCCACTCCTGCCACAGCGCTCCAGAAGTGTGGGCAGCTGGGAGTGCCACGTGCCTGGAGGAGAGGACAGGGCAGTTGCTGGGAGTCTGCCTGGCGTGCTCAGGCCCTGGCTCGCTGCCCTATACCTCAGCTGCATCACTGCCCTGTCGGCCCAGCAGAAGGCCAAGGGTCCCCCTTCAGGAGGGGCCAGCACAGAGGAACAAAGACTGGGGACGCCAGGAGCGCAGCTGAGCCCCGGGGACTCGGCAGGTCTCAGTCCTGAAATGTGAGACCCTTTGCCTTCTCCCTCATGTCTTTCTCCAAAATAGAATCCTTCTCCCACAACAGGGGCGGCCAGGGTTCATTCCAGGGAGGGAATCCCTAGGGAGAAACTGGCCAGTCCGAAAGAAGAGATGGCGGTCCCCCCCAACATGGCCACTCACCCAACCATCCTGCAGGGAAGCCCAGCCACGCCCCCATGCACCATCTGGAACGTGAGTGTTGTGGACATTGAAGAAAGTCCAGTGCAAGAGAAGACCCCCCAACCACCTTTGAGACGGCTTGTTCTGAGGAAACTGAAAACCCAGCCAAGCCCAGAGCCCCCAGAGGTAGCAGTCGGTGAGTGGCAGACACTGCACCTGGAAGCCAGGGCAGCATGCTGTCTCAGACTTCAGGACAGCAGGTGACAGGAGAGAACAGCTGTGGTGCAGAGGAGGCTTGATGGCCAGTGCTGGACAGCATGGGGAGTCTTCCAGGAGGAAGGGCATGAAGACAGCACGCCTGAGAGGAGGTGAGAAGGCTGGAGGACCCTGAGCCGCCCTGCATGGCCAGGGGCCGTCAGGGGAAGGGGAGCGCAGAGGACATGCCCAGAGCCTGAGGACTGGGTTCCACGCTGGAGGGGCCAGCGGCACCTGATGAATGAAAACTTGAGATGAGAAGAAGAGCCTGAGAGAGAGACAGAGGGCAAACGGCACATGACACAGAATCCAAATGGCGTCACCCTGCTCTGCCCCAGATGAAAACACTTTCCCAGCCAGGTGTTGCTTACAGGTTAGGTTTGAACAAGGGCGCTTTCACACGGGGCAGGGGCTTCAATTTGAGCCCCTATGTCATTTACCCCCGGAAGCTGGAGGATGGACCACTGGAAAAAGAGGGCTCTGTCCAGACAGGAGGACACCTTCCCACGGGCTGCTGCTCCAGCAACAGACCTCGCTTGCTGGTGCTCGAACGGGAAGGGGCAAGTCCAGGCCGTTAAGGCAGCAGGGTCCCCAGGAAGGGTGAGAAGGAGTGACTCCAGCCAAACTCTGCAGCCCCGGACAGCAGACGCCTGCTCCCACCTGCCAGGAAACGCGTCCCGGGGCTGCTGCTTCCTCACTGCCCCGGAGCAGGCCGCAGACCTGCGGAGGTCCGGAGGGGGGTCCTGGGAAGGTGGGGCACAGATGGGGAGATGCAGCAGAGCACAGGAAAGGTGTCTGACAGATGGCCAGAAGATGTCACAAATGGCTGCCGCCCCTGGGTGCAAGGGGAAGGGGAAGCCCTCATCTCCCAGCCCCCGGCCCTCTGCCAACTGAGCCTGCGTCTCCCAGTCCATGTGGAACTCACAGGTGCTTGACAATGAGCTTCACCCTCAGCCCTTTTTCATATTTTATCTAAAGACACAGTCTCACTGAATTGCTTAGGGCCTCACTAAGTTGCTAAGGTTGCCTTTGAACCCATGATCCTCCTGCCTCAGCCTCCTGAGTCACTGGGATCATAGGTGTGCCACGGTGCCCGTGTTATGGACCCGAGTTCGCGTCTCCCGGCCCCTGGCCCTGAGTGCACTCAGAGCCTGTCCCACAGCCACTGCCCAGCGTGCCTCTGATTCAGCGTGTGCCCCCGCTCTGGCTGTCAGCTCCCTCTCTGTGTTGGGCAGAGGCCTCGTTTCCCTTGCTGGGTACCTGCCTCCCGTGTTTTCAGTCAGGTGGGCGCGTCAACCACTTGTCCTGCTGGTTGGCTGTGTGACATTGGCTATGTCTTTCCTGTTGTCTTTCCTACACTGGACCCGGGTTTGGGGGCTGCTTCTCCCACAAGGTTCCTCTAAATACTGAACCAATGAGGAGAAATAGCCTCTTGACGCCTGTGCCCATGGTGAATAGCTCAGGTTTCCATGGGAAGAACTGGTCTTTGGCACGAGTTTGCAGAGGGGTCTCCATTCTGCATGTGCCTGGTCCCCTCGTCCCCTGGACACTCCCTCCTCCTCCTTTCTGTGCCCGGCAGCTCAGCTTCTCTGAGCCATTTGCCTTCCATTTGCCATGGTGGCCACCTTGGCCTTGAGTGCCATCCCTGCCTGCCATTTCCTGTGCTCTCTGTGGTCTGCCCACTGCACTCTCCCAGGCCTTCCCAAGTTGAACACAGAGCAAAGCCCTTTTGCTTTGATGTAGTGTTTTTAAAGGAAATTTTATTATGGGTTGAGTTTTTCTTAATCGTCTTCTTCAGATGCTACCTTTTTAGTAAGTACCACTTATTCGCTGCAGAAAAACTAAAAATAAAAATAAGAAAACTAAAATAAATAGAAAATAAAAATGAGCTTAAAGGTGTCACCTGTAATTGCGTCACAGAAGAGGGCGCCCTGTGCGTGTGTTCTGTGCCGGTGTCTGCGTGTGCTTTCATGGTGTGCGAAGCTGCCCTTGTGGTGAGCCTGCCCTGCCTTCCTCACATGATTTATAAATTGGGCATCCCTCCTCTGAAAGGCTGTGAAGTTCTGAAACCCCAAGTCCACAGTCCTCCGGAGTCTGAAAAGCTCCGGCCGCGGGCACGTCGGAGAAGGGAGGCTTGGCCTGCTGTGTTGGGTGCAGTGGCGTGTGGTCTTCGTTTCCTGTGCAGAGGGCCCACTGTGGGAACAGGGCGGGCACACTGCTCCTAACTGCTGCTCCCTCCTGCAGAGCATCTCCTGGGCCACCTGGAGCAAGCCAAAGGCCTTCCTGCCGGCAGCCAGCATGAGGCCGCCCCAGAGAAGGAGCCTCAGCCGCCCCGGGTGCAGCCCCCTGCAGCACCGGAGAGTGCCAGTGTCCAGAGCAGGGCCACCAAAGAGCAGAAGAAAAAGCCTCGAAGGGGGAGAAAACCCAAAGCATCAAAGCCGGAGCAGCCTCTGGTCATCGTGGAGGACAAAGAGCCAGCAGGTGAGAGCCATGCCGGCTGAGGGGTGGCCACGCTGGCCTGGGACCACTCACCTGTTCCCCTCTACACAGAGGCCACGTGGGGACTGCCACTGTGAGCCCGCCCCGACCCCTCAGCCCTGGGAAATGCAGTTTCTCCGTGACACATGGTACACAAAAGGCTTATGGAGCCTGGCAACCCAGCATACCGTGTGACCTGTCCTGCCATCAGGACAGAGGACACTCCCGCCTCCCAGCCCTCCCCTGTGGTCTTGGGCATGGATTAGGCTGCCCGTGCCAGGACTCCCAGCTCTCACAGGAGCGTCCAGGCATGAGGCTTGTCCGTCAGGTCTGTCAGTGGCCGTCTCCCGAGCACTGCAGCATCTGGCCCATCATGCAGATGCCCACGGTTTGCTCACCCACTCCTGTGCGTGGCCTCTGGGGCCGGCCCTGGTGGAGCTCATCTTGCGGGCCTCACTTCCCGTGTGTGCAGCCTCCACAGAGCTCGGCCCTGCAGTCCTCGCGAGGCCTCTGCCCGAGCTGCTGGCTGCAGCAGAGTCCCAGTGGCCTCATGCCTGAGGACAGGGCATGCGGTCAGAGGCCAGCCCCTCCCACCCACACCACGGCACTGGACTTTCTTCTGACTCTGGGCGGCCCCGGGGTTTCTTGTGAAGGAGGAAAGCCCTGGGGTTGGAGGAGCTCTGCGGGTGGTCCTCACTCTCCCTGTCCTCCCCACCCGGCCCGGCTGGTTTGGAAGTGACAGGAGGAACAGTTTGCTCTTCCGGGGGGTGGAGAAGATGGGAAGGGGCAGGGGTGTCCCACTGCCACTCGTGGCTGGAGAGGTGTGCCGGCACGTTGGGCGTGGTCTTTCCAGGTTTCATCCGTCCTGTCCTGGCCTGGGCCTGTCACTGTGGGTGTTTGACATTTGACTCTTTTACAGAATGGTTACTTGCTTTTTGAACACTCTCCAGGTGGTGTGTCTAATTCTAAAAGTTCTACGTTTGTCTGAACTAGTTTATAAATCACAAGATTCCATTACCTGTACAGAATGTGTTGGAGAGGCAAGTAACGTTACCGCGACGTAGCTTTGAAACAGAGCCACCATGACGAAGCTCCCTGGGTCCAGGAGCTGTTCTGTCTCTCTGTACTGGGACGGCACAAGCGTGGGCTCCGAGGGAGCTACTTCTCTTCCTTTCTGAACTTCAACAAATGGCCCACCATTGCAGCCCTCTGCTGTCATAAAGAACACACGCTCCTGGAATGGACGGGCTTTGTCCTGTCCAGGGAATGACGTGGCTTGTCATGTCCCCTTTGCACAGAGCACGTGGCCGAGATCATCACCGAGGTCCCGCCAGACGAGCCTGTGAGCGCGACTCCAGATGAGCGGATGGTGGAGCTGGTTTTGGGAAAGCTGGCTCCTCACACACACGACGTCAGCACGGTGCCAAAGTAAGTCCTGCCTGGACGCTGCGGCCTGCGGGGAGCCCCATGAGTGGGCACGGGCTGCCCTCAGAGCCCTGCATGCCTGGGAAGCGTCAGAATGTTCTGGAGCTCAGGAGCTTACTGGTCATCCACTGTGGGAAGTTGAGGCTTTTTTTGTGGTGACAAAGTGCACGTGACATGAAACGCACCACTCTGGCCACTTTAAGTGCTCACCTGGAGGCGCAGGTGTTCTGTGGCCATCACCACCATCCATCTACAGAACCCCACAATGAAACCTTGTCCCCATCCAATGTGACTCCCGTCTCCCCCGCTGCTGGCACCCGCAGTGCCCCGGTCCACATAAGTAGCCTGCAGTGGTCGTGCCCTGGACCTAGCCTGCCGTTCTGCAGGTCTGTCCGTGATGTCGCATGTTGGCACGCCTCCTCTGTAGGCATGAGAGCATCCCAATGAGGATGCCTCGCTCCATCTCTGCGTCTCTGGCTCCTGTGACTAGGACCAAGAGGGACACTGGAACACAGGTGGTACAGTCCAGGCTCCACCCGAGCTCCGGGCCGTCCCATGGCCCGAGTGGCAGCAGAGCAGGAAGTGTGTCTGTCACAGCACCTGGTGGGTGCTGCCTGAAGTCCAGGCCTCGCCTGTGAGCCGCCTGTAGCTGCGGTGGCGCCGGCCCTGCCCTCCTCTCTGGCAGTCTCCGTCTCGGGCAGGTGTTGGTGGGAGGCCCCTCCAAGGTGACGGCAACCTGGACTCGTGCTCTCTGGGCGCTGAGTCTCCTCCTGTCTCGACCGGGCAGGTTCACTCACCATCAGAGCAGCACCATCGCCCTCAAGAGGAGCCTGGTTCTGTCCAGCAGACACGGCATCCGGCGGAAGCTGGCGCGGCAGCTGGGGGAGCACAAGCGGGTGCACCAGTGTGGCATCTGCAGCAAGGTCTTCCAGAACAGCAGCAACCTGAGCAGGCACGTGCGCTCCCACGGTGAGTGCCCGGCCGCGTCCCCACGCACAGGGGCACCAAGCTTCCCACGCACCTGGGCGTCAGCAGAGCAGGCAGCCTGCCTGGTGAGTGCCTGAAGCAGTGACCTGGTTCCTTCGGTTCCACAGGTGACAAGCTGTTTAAGTGTGAAGAGTGTGCAAAGCTGTTCAGCCGCAAGGAGAGCCTGAAGCAGCACGTCTCCTACAAGCACAGCAGGAACGAGGTGGGTGGACTGGTAGCCTGGGGAACAGGCTGTAAGGAGCTGAGGCTCCTGGAGTCCTGCTGCACCCTGTCCTCCGGCCCTGGCCTCCACCAGCTGCCCAGCCTGGTAGATGTTGGCGGGGCGCGGGGAGGAGTGGTGGGTGCTTGGAGTTTGGCTTCCCAGCGTGGTTCTCCCTCCAGGCAGCTGGACAGCCCCTAGGTGGAGTAGGGGAGAAGGGCTGTGGCATAGCCAGCCCAGGAGGGAGTGGTCCGGCCCCACGTGTGGGCCTCCCTTGCTGACGTGTCTCCTCGACCAGGTGGACGGCGAGTACCGGTACCGTTGTGGCACCTGTGGGAAGACCTTCCGCATGGAGAGCGCACTGGAGTTTCACAACTGCCGCACAGGTGAGGCTGCGCGGGGCTGCCCGTCCCATGTGGCCCGTGCTCAGCAGGGCAGAGGCGGAGCCTCAGAAGCGAGGCCGTGCTGAGCAGCGAGCAGCCAGCTGGACCTCCCGCTCCTTCTGCCTGGGTGCAGTCGCCACTTGCTCTGGAGATAGGTCAGAAGTGCTCGTGCCAGAGAGGATATGTGTCCTTTCCTGTGCTCCTGGGACCCCTGTCTAAGGCCACCGTGGAGCAGGGCCCCTGAGAGAAACGGGAAGGTGGGGACAGGGCTTGGGAAGAGAGGGCCCCGCGCCTGTGGGACAGTTGTCCACCCGTTGTCTTGCCCCGCAGAGGGCTTTGCTGCCTCCCTGCCCAGGTCACTTGGTTCTGAGCCTGCTCTGTCTACCAGTCCCCAAAAGGAGAGCGAAACCACGTAATTGTCGTGAGAGGCTGGAAGCTCTGTGCTCCGCCGAGCCTGTGCTGGGGAGGCAGCCTCCCTGGCGGGACACCTCAGGCTGTGCTCACAGCAGCCATGAAACGTGAACACAGAGGCACGTCTGTGAGGAGGGAAGCCACGCTGTGGGGCCAGCGGGCACCCTGTGCTGCCTGGCTCACCCCACTGGGTGGGGGAGCCCTGCTTCCCCCAGTTGCCCCAGTGGAGGCCCAAGTAGTGGGCAGTCCAGAGGGAGCGGAGGGAGGGTCACTGTTGCTTTGTGTTCTCCCTCTCTCTAGGACTCATAGCAAACCTGGGAGAGGGGGGGACCCGTGGCAATCGGCTTAGAGACCTACCAGGTTAGCCCTCAACCCACCTGTTCTTGTTGGTCGTGCTGTCCGTCCGCGCCTCCGTGTGAGCCCTCGCTGGGGTGCTGGCCAGCCGCCGTGTCTCTGAGCCCTGTTGCCCCTGCTGCCCAGCCGGGCTGTCCTTCCTGTGTCTGCCACTCTTCCCCATTTGTCTGTCTGTGTGTTTCTTCTGTTTTGAAGACTCTGCTTTGAGACTCTGGCCTGTCCCCTCTGTCTGGGCCCAGGGCGCCTTCCTTGCTGCGTCAGGCTGAGCAGGGCAGCGGGGCCGTGTTCTCTGGGCCTTCGCACCTGGAGCATTCTTGTCTGGGGCAGGTGCAGCCTCCAGAAGCTTCCGGGTGAACGTCCAGCATGCTGCATCCTGACTCAAAGCCCCCTTCTCAGGTGTGCCAGGGCCTGGCAGGCCTCAGCCTGATGTCCCTGCTCTGCACTCACCGGGCAGGTAGACAGGCCAGCCTCACTCTGCTACTGGCCAGTCAGGCCTGGGAAAGAGACGCTGTCCTCTTCTAACTGTTTTTCTGCACCTGATGAAGCCAGGTGACCAGAGCAGTAGCAGATACCTGCCCGACCTTGTCTCTGTGGGCTGTGTAGAAAGGACAGGGCAGGTGGGCAGTGGGCAGCTCTCCTCCTTGAAGGCTCTGTTTCCAAGGTTCGAGCCACGGCTGAAATGGAAGGCGGCCTGTGGTCTGCTCATCTGCACAACTCTGTGCCCTTGGCCTTCTGGGGTGCTGCCCTAGGGGAACGCACATCCCTCCCACCATTGAGCTCAGATTTGTCCAGTGAGGGAAAGTCTGAAGACGTGGTGGGCAGGCTTTTCACCAGCTGCCCAGCAGGCCCATCTTTGTGTCCTCCTGGGTCCCCTGGGTCCCTGTGTCCCTGTGCTGTGACTGGTGTTGCTGTCTTATGTGTGTTCACTGCTGTCTTTGACCTGAAGAGGGTGCTAGGGAGCGGCAGAGGAGCACGTCCTGTCCCCAGGCACAGGGGACCCTCATTCTCTGAGAGGGTGGCTCCTAGCAATCCACGTCCCCTCAGGTGCACCCTTCCCAGGCCCCAGGCGTCTGTCCTCAGTGCTGCATTGATTACCTCATCGGCGTGGACCTCCCTGGCAGTGGGGTCGTTGGGACACGGAGCCTGTCTGGGTTCCATGTGTGGGGTCAGCAGGCGGAGTCCAGATGGCCCTGCCCCAGCTCTGCCCTCACTGAGCACAGGACACTGTGGGCTCAGGGGATGGTTTGAAGTGGGGGTCTCTTTCCATAGCTGGGACAGAGGATGCTGTGGCCCAGCGCAGCACTGTTGTGTCCCAGGGTGCCAGGCCCCCAGATTAGTGAGCCCTCCCTCTGCTGAAAGAGGCTCCCCTGGGCTGCTCAGCAGGCCCAGGTGTGGGGGGAACAACCTACCAATGTGACTCACAAAGTCTCACAGCAGCGGGTCCCTAGCGTACCCATTCCTGAGGATGCATATTTAGGAAGTGAGTGGAAGGTAACTTGCACCACTGAGGAGTGCGTTGCTGAGTCACCTGCAGTACCAGGTATCGCGGAGTCACGGTAGATGAACTCCGAGCACCCTTGGAAACAATGGTGAAAATGCTGCGTGTCACGGGCACACGTGTCCTGCAGGGGGTGCATGAGTGTGCACGTGCAGCAGGCCCCGAAGCGGGCAAAGCTTTCCAGTACTGGGCCACAAAGAAACCACGCATCGCCTCGAGAGGGACCAGCGTAACCATGAAAGTGATGCGGGGAAAGGAGGCTGCCTGGTGTCCTCCTGACAGCTTCTCCTGGCCCGGGTGGCGGAGGTCTCATGCAGGGCCTGCAGCCCTGCTGTCCTGCTGGGCATGGAGCCCACAGAGACGTTGCTGTCCCCACTGCCCCCTCCCCTCGGCTCCCAAGCCAGAGGGCTTGTCCTGGTGCCTTTACCTGCTGGGGTGGAAGGGCGGCTGCGCGACCCTGGGTGCGTGTGGTCTTCCCTCCCTAGGTGCCCGCTGGAGCCACCTGAGTGAAGCTAAAGACGTCCTGGCCAGCAGGCCTCAGCTGCAGGGGGCAGGGGCAGTGTCTGGGGCGTCTCGGGCGTCACAGCTGCCTGGGGCCAGCGGGAATGCAGCATCTAGTGGGTAGAGGCCAGGGTGTTACTCTGCATCCCCAGGGCCCAGGGCAGGTGACCCAGCTCAGATGTCAGCCCCGGGAGCACCTGGGTCCATGGTGGCTCCGGTGTAGCAGGCAGGGCCAGCACAGGGGGCAGCAGAGCACAGCGGCTCTTCCTGTGGCCTCAGGGATGTGCCTGGCAACATACTGTGTGGGAATTGGTCAGTGGGCTCTAGCCTGGTGCGTCACTCCGGAGAAGGGAGATGACCCATGTGTCACACACCTGTGTTGCCTGCGTCAGGTCCACCGCACCACAGCACAGGGAGGAGGGCAGCTCTGCAGGGCTCGCTGAGAGGAGCCGGGGCCCTGTACGTGGAGGGAGGGAGGGTGCCATGGGACAGAGATGGCATGGAGCAGCTCGGGAGCTGAGGGGTAGGACCTGCTGTTTGATCGGCTACCTTCAAGGAGAGATTAGATTTAGGACCCAGGGCACAGGGTGTGGGTATCGCTGGGGGCTTGGAGAGTGTGGGGAGTGTGTGTTGGTGTGATTTGTCCACCAAAGGGAGACCTAGAACTAGGAGGCAGTCTGCGGACAGTGGAGAACTCTGAGGCGCCGTGGGGGGCAGGTGGGCTGAGCCTCGCGGGGGAGGACAGCCCCCTGGCTGGGGTCTGGGTGGTACAGGTGGACAAGCTGAGGGCGCAGGCTGCAGGGCTCGAGTTTTGGGAAGGAGGAGGGCTGTGGGGCACACGTGCTCACCATGTGCCCGGTGTGGGGAGGCCCGCGTGCTGGGCAGGCTCCTGCCCCAGCCCTGCCCTTCGCTACCACCAAGACACACGTGAGCCTGGGCCAGGAGTTATTCACCCGGATCCTTGTGTGTGTGTTTGCTCTCCGGACAGATGACAAGACGTTCCAATGTGAGATGTGTTTCAGATTCTTCTCCACCAACAGCAACCTCTCCAAGCACAAGAAGAAGCACGGGGACAAGAAGTTCGCCTGCGAGGTCTGCAGCAAGATGTTCTACCGCAAGGACGTCATGCTGGACCACCAGAGGCGGCACCTGGAAGGTGGGCCCTCAGGCACCCGGGAAGGGAGGGCTGGGGGCCACGGCGTCGTCCTGCCGCCTCCATGGAAGCAGTTAGGCAGTGCCCGGAAATGCCCGCTGCCTGCCCCGTGGCTCCACAGGCCCGGCCAGCACGTAGAGCCCAAGGGGTGGGGGTGCTGTTGTGAGTGATCGGAGGAGCCCTGGAGAGACTCCGAGTGTGACAGTACTTCCAGTGGGACAGCAGGTCAGAGGAGCTGGCCGTCAGGCGCACGGTGAGCTCTCAGCAGAGTGCAGCGCAGAGAGCTGCTGGGTGCTGTTGGGGGGCCACAACTGTCCCTCGTTCCTCACACTCTGTGCCTTCGTGGTCACCAGCACAACTGGCCTCAGGCTGTCCGTCCTCACAGAGGGCTCGAAGAGCCAGAGAAGGGCCATCCACAGGGCCAGTCTGGACCCTGGAGGCAGCAGCAGGGTGAATGGGACCCAGGGAGCTGGGCTGGGGGTGAGTAGTGGCCCAGCCGCCGCAGGCCTACGAAGAGCCCTGTGCGCCGTGCAGCTGCTGCTGGTTGGGGGACCCCGGGGTGACCCGAGGGCTCCGAGGCCTGTCCCAGGACGTTGCGTGTTTTCACTGTTTTTGCTCCGGCAGTCCTGGGGCAGCTGCCCTCGTGAGCTGAGCTCACTGACCCTTGGAGCGTCACGGAGAACCGCAGCCACGCACTTGTGAGGGGGCCGGGGTGAAGCCGTGGCTGCTGTGCTCTGTGAGCACGCCTGTGTCCTCGTGTGCCCCGGACCCTCACAGCCAAGGCTGGGCTGCAGCCCACGGGTCTTCAGCAGGCCCTCCCTGCACTGCTCCATAGAGACCCGCAGCCGGCCTCCGGGGCGCTTCACAGCTGCGCGGGCTCTCTGCACGGGGACAGTGGCCCCATCCCCAGGTCCATGTCAGGCCGCAGCAGACCCTGCTCAACCAGCTCTCAGCAGGGCACAGCACGGAGCAAGTGCTGGCAGCCGCCTGCCACTGTGGTCCCTGTCAGAGGCCCCTTGTCCCCATGTCCAGGTGGCTGGGCGGCAGCTGTAACTCACCCCTCACCCAGACCCCTTTTCTGTGGCCATTCCGTGGTGTTTCCTTCACCTAGACCACACCCTGCTTCAGACCCCGTGTGGCACCTTTGTGCCCTGGAGCCTCTTGGACTCTGCCTGATGCGTACGCACTGGCTCTGCCCCTGGCTCAAGACCTGAGGAGCTAAGGTCGCGTTTCTCTCTGGTGGAGAAATGACCTGTTTCACATGAGCTCTGACTTGAATTTCATGTTGTTTTGAACCCCTGGGCTCCAGCTGCTCTCCTGCCCCAGCCTCCCAAATATAGGGACCTCAGTTAAATGTCACCGTGCCTCTAAAAGTCTGTTTTGTTTATTCTTTAATACTAGGTGTTGAATCCGGGTGTGCTTTACCATTGAGCTACATCCCCAGCCTTTTTTTATTTTTTATTTTGAGATAGGGTCTTGCTAAGTTGCCTAGGGCCTCACTAAGTTATTAAGGCTGGCCTCAAACTTAAATCCTCCTGCCTTGGCCTCCCAAATTGCTGAGGCATGTGCTATCATACCTAGCAAAAAAAGTCTGTTTTAACCCTGGTCTTGAAAACTTTTCCTTAAAACCAGAGATTTTATTACCTGCCGACTTGAAAGTCTGCCTGCTTACAGCCATCTGCAGGACTCGCTCGGCCTCAAGCTTTCGGATCAGGTGCTGGCACAAGAGCACCGCAGCTGTGTGCTGAGGCCCGGCGCTGGGTGCCCAAGCTCTGCAGCCTGGTGTGCAAGGCCCTTGCCAGTCCCGCGGGCAGCACAGCACTCTTCCTTCCCCAGGAGCTGCTGTTTGCTGCTGGTGCCCCGGTGTGTAGGCAGCTGGTCCGTCCTCTGAGGGCATTCCTGCCCGCTGTCCAGCTGGGAGGGCCGGCCCTGCTCCACCCCACCTGCTCCTTGTGTGCTCACTCTGCCTGGTGGGGGTTTTGGGGATTTCAGGAGTGCGGCGGGTGAAGAGAGAGGACTTGGAGGCTGGCGGGGAAAGCCTGGTGCGCTACAAGAAGGAGCCCTCCGGATGCCCAGTGTGTGGCAAGGTAATGTCTGCGAGGGGCATGGAGCCTGAGGGCGGGCGCGGCTTCGGGGAGTTCTGAGGGCGTTGCTGCTCGGGTCTAACAGCTGTCCTCTCACCCCACACCTGCCGCTCGGTCTCTGCCACCGAGGATGGGTTTCCGTGAATGTGCGGAGGCCGCCCTTCTTCCTCCGTAGCCCTTCCCCTCTGCCGTGAGCTTCGCCCGCGCTGCTCTGTGGCTCCCACTCCTTGCATCTCGTCCTTGTGGTAGGACCTGGCCCCAGGCACCAAAGGAAGTGGGAGGTCACAGAGCTTTATGTGGCCTGTCCTGCTGGTCTCCCCTGCCCAAAAAGGCAGGCCACCTTTTCTAAGGGAGAGATGAGCCATTCTTGGTGACCACTCCTGAGGCAGGGCTACAGATGACCCCCCATGGTGATGGCTGTGGTTAGCTTTTTGTTGCTGTGACCAAAATACCTGATAAGAACAACTTGGAAGAAGAAAGGTGGGTTTGGGGCTCACAGTTTCAGAGGTCTCAGCCCACAGATGCCAGCTCCACTGCTGGGCCCAGGAGAGGCGGGACATCATGGTGGAAGGGCCCAATGGAGGAAAGCCGCTCGGGTCTTGGCAGGTTGGGAGCAGAGGGGCTGGGGAAGAGGCCCCCTTCCAGGGCTGCCAGTGACCCCCCAGCCACGCCCCACCGGTCTGCAGTTGCCAGCGGTTCCAGGCTGGGCTGGACTTTTCGGGTCACAGCCTTCACAGTGCAGCTGCTTTACCTCTGCACGTTCCTGCATCAGCAGGAGCTTTGGGGACACCTGACATCCAGACAGCAAGTGACAGCCTCCATATGAGCAGTCCCCCCGTACCCAGAGTGGCTGCTCTGGTGTGACCTGGTGTCTAGGGACGTGCGTCTGCTGCTCAGAACCCATCCTGCGGGCTGCCACCGCCATGCAGGCTGCCGTGGAGGCACGGCCCATTTCTTGCAGATGAGAACCTGGTTTGGAGAAGGGTGCTGCCGCTTGTGTTGGCCGCAATGTCCACTCCCTGGGTGTTGCCGACTGTTCCTCAGAGGACTCGTGTCCTCACAGCATCCAGGCAGGTGCCACAGTGGAGCTGCCCAGAGAGGTTCCCACATGGCACTGCTGTCACCCAGTGGTCTTGGGAGTCACCAAGAGGAGGGGACGTTCCTGGACCTGTCACAGCCACACGGCTCACGTGAAGCACCTGATGCTGGCTCCTGCGGCAGTCACATGCCACGCGCCCCAGCCCCGGGGACACAGGTCTCTTCACACTGGTGATCCCTGTCTGCCAGCATGTGGCACCAATGCTAGATCTTTTGACCTTTTCAGGGAAAAATGGAAATCCATGTTTTTATATGAGATTTTCTGATTTTTTTTTTTTTAAACCTCAGAGCAAGGCAAAGCTCATGGGACAGCTGTGCAGTGTGGCCTCGGGGTCCCCATGAACCTGAACTACAGCAAAGATTTGGTGTCTGGTCCAGAGTGGGAGGTTGCAGAGCTAGGGGACAAGCACAAGCTGGGCAGGCAGGTGCCTCCAGACACCTGCACTGTTACCTACCCACCAGGAACGCCATCCAGGTGGAGACACCCAGCTGCCTGCCTTGTCTACCCCTCCGTCGGTGGGCATAGGGGCTTCCACAGAGGTGACCCTGGGGACGAGTGTGCGATGGACATTGCCACACTGGGAATGCCAGGGCAGCAGGGATGTGGGGCGAGTGTGCAGGAGCCCCGCACACTCACCGAGGGTTGGCTCCTTCTCTGACAACCACCTTCCCAAAGCTGCACTGTTTCTGACTCGCTGGCCTCTTGGTTGGGACCACGCTAGCAAAACACTTAGTGCCCATGGAAGCCCTCGAGCAGCTGTAGCCACAGTGAGGACGGGGCTGGGCCCTTTCTGGACTGTGACGTGAGCAGGGATCCAAACAGTGGGTCACCCTGCTCCAGTGCCGGGGATGGCGTGCGGTTCTCACACTTGAGTTGTTGGGGCTTAGAGTCTAGGAGAAGTCGCCCTGTGTTTTGTGGGCCGAGGTGACAGTCTGCTCTGTGTGCCGTGGGCTCAGCCCTCACCTCCCCACGGTGCGGCCCCTCTGCCCCCAGGTATTCTCCTGCCGCAGCAACATGAACAAGCACCTGCTGACCCACGGCGACAAGAAGTACACCTGTGAGATCTGCGGGCGCAAGTTCTTCCGCGTGGACGTGCTCAGGGACCACATCCACGTCCACTTCAAGGTATCAGGCATGCGCCAGCTTCCCAGTGACGCACAGAGTGCCAGGCCCCAGGCCAGCATCTTTGCTGCGGTTGTGCTAACAGAGTCGGTGGCGAGGGCCGAGGCTGCTGTCCACTGTGTCCTCACCTGGTCGGGGGAGCTTTCCAGGGCCTATTGCAGGAGACCAGTCCCAGTCACAAGGGACGTACCCTGGTGGCCTTGCCACCTCGGAGGCCCAATTCCCGGCACCATAACCTTGGGGCTGAGGTTTCAGCACATGAATTTGAGGGGTGCAGACATTCAGACCATCACTGTCCCCCAAAACGATTGTCAGCACGGCCACCGTGAATCTTTTCAGGCTGACTTCCTGCATTAGCTGGCGACATGGTCCAGCTGCGGCTTGAAGTGTGGCTCCTCGGTGTGGGCCTGACGAGAGAGTAGCTTGTGGGTGGTGCTCTGTCCCTCCCTCCTTGGAGGGTGGCCTTGTGATTCAGGCCACAGAAGTACTGACCCCAGAGAAAAAGGAGGAAATAGCAGTTGGAACCAAAGGCCCAATAGGCTGGGGAGTGCCCGGGCCAACTTGGGAAGCCTCCATCAGCTCTGCCCTGGGCACGAGGTGGCATTCTCTGGGCCTTGGAGAGGGGGTGAGAAGGCGGGGCAGGAGAGCATGGCACCCCAGGCCGTGAGTGGGTGGCCAGGGGGCCGGCAGGCCCGGGGTCCTCAGACGCAGCAAGGTAGTGCCTCGGGCCTGGCTCATCAGCCTTGCACGTGCCGGGCAGAGCTGGGCACGCGTGAGGCAGGAATGTGGCTTCCCCAGGACATTGCGCTCATGGACGACCACCAGCGGGAGGAGTTCATCGGCAAGATCGGCATCTCCTCAGAGGAGAACGATGACAACTCCGACGAGAGCGCGGACTCGGAGCCCCACAAGTACAGCTGCAAGAGGTGCCAGGTACTCGGGCCAGCCACCCTTGAGACGCCAGGAGGTGACTCCTAGCTGTGACGCTGCAGGGACCCCAGGGCACCTGTGCGGGCGTGGGAGGGGCCTGCCTCTGAAGGCCAGGTCTCCTGGGCCCAGGGAGGGGGACTGGGCTCACAGCCCTGCAGAGCCCGGCACCGGGTGCCCTGCACCTACACAGGAGTGCTGAGCAGGGTAGGACAGACGCTGGCCCAGGCAAGGCTCCCTCTGTCCCTGTCCCTGAGGACTCCATCCTGAAGCCCTTCCAGGTCTCCCCTGTGCTCAGAGGAGGCGTCTTAAAGGGAGGCAGCTCACTTCCGGGGGACCCCGCCTGAGTTTTTGTCAGCTTGTGCGGGTGACAGCCACCCAGCAGGCACACCTGCCAGGAATGTGCAGCTCCTGCCAGCCCCGGGTGTCCTTGGCACCGCACAGTATGGTCCCTATGGGGCCTGGTGACCTCTGGCGCAGCAGAGGCCCAGAGCCTGGGGTGTCAGCGCTTGGCCTGCTCCGCAGCTCACCTTCGGCCGCGGGAAGGAGTACCTGAAGCACATCATGGAGGTGCACAAGGAGAAGGGCTACGGCTGCAGCACCTGCCACCGGCGCTTCGCCCTCAAGGCCACCTACCACGCCCACATGGTCATCCACCGCGAGAACCTGCCCGACCCCAACGTGCAGAAGTGAGGCTCCCAGCTCGTAGCCCTGCAGTGCAGTGGGTGTGGGCAGCGAGGCAGGGCAGGGTGCTCGGCCAACAGGCCCGGGCTGCGCCAGGGCTCTGGGTGCCCATCCACCCAGGCCTCACCCTCGCCTACCCGGTGGGACTTTCGGAGGGAAGTAGCCCAGTTCTCAGCCCAGCTGAAAGACGACATGAAGCCCGTTCCTCCCAGTGATTCAGTTTCCCTGGTGCCAGCCCCGGCTCTGGCACATGGCACGTAATCAGGGCTGTGTGGCGAGTGAGTGACATGCTGCCTGCAGGCTAGCCTGGTCTCCCAGGGCACCTGTGACCCAGTGCAGATTGGGGGTCAACGCAGCAGACAGCCTCCGCTCTGCCCTGGAGGCCAAGGAGTCATGGGCTTGTCCCCTGGCCTCTCTCCTGGACTGGCCAGTGGTGTCCCCCAACCCCATTTCCTCACAGGGTCAGCCCCTGTGTGTGCCTGTGTCCCCATCGTTTCCTCTGGGGACACCCGTTAGATTGGATCAGGGCCATCCCAGTGACCTCATTTTACCTTCACATCTCCAAAGACCCCATCTCCAAAAATAGTCACTGTCTGAGGGCTGGGGCTGGGGCTACTGCCCGGGGATATGGGCACACGGTTTCGCCCATCATAGAGCTGAAGCATGTGCCACTTTGTCCACACGTGGCACCTTCTGCCTCACTTGTGCCTATAAAGGTGTGGGAGCGTGCCCTCTCCCTGATGGGCCACTCAGCTTGTGCCGCGTCCTGAAGCTCCTCTTTGGTTTCAGATACATCCACCCCTGTGAGATCTGTGGGCGGATCTTCAACAGCATCGGGAACTTGGAGCGTCACAAGCTCATCCACACAGGTAGCCTGTTCCCACAGGAGTGGGGCCTGAGCAGGCAGTGCTGGGGTGGCCAGGGCTCCCCCGAGTACGTTCTGCTGTCCCCCAGCTTCTCCCACCCCAGCCCCCTCCATGTCCTCGGGGAATTTTCCAGGCCAGGGGCCCTGGGGCGGCTCTGTGCAGGCTGGGGAGAGGTGGCCCGTCCCAGCACCAGCCTTTGAAATGCTGCCTGGTCTTGCAGGTGTGAAAAGCCACGCCTGCGAGCAGTGCGGGAAGTCGTTTGCCAGGAAGGACATGCTCAAGGAGCACATGCGCGTGCACGACAACATCCGCGAGTACCTGTGCGCCGAGTGTGGGAAAGGTGCGCCTCGCTCCAGTCGGGGCCTCGCAGTATCACTGCCTTCTCCAAGGAGGGGGGGCAGGAACTGGCAGGTCACAAGGATACGGGTGCCACCGGTGCCCCAGGAGACCCATGGGCTTCAGTGGTGCCCTTAACAAGAAAGGGAAGGCGTGGTGAGTGGTCTGGAGCAGCTGCTTCGTGAGCCAGGAGCTGCGGCGGGACCTACAGGCAGCTCGCTGATAAGAAGCCACTAAGGAGACATGCAGGTCGGGAGGGAGGAGGAGACCTGGGGCACGCTGCAGTTGTGACCCGTTTCTACTAGAAAAATTCAGAGTCCTCCCAAGACGGGGTGGGGGGGTGAGGGGGTGTCGGGGTCAGGTCATTCTTGGGCCACTCTGGTGATGCCCCAGGCTCTGCTGCTGGGCAGCCCATTCAGATGCCAGACAGACCAAGGCTACCTGCTTTGTGATTGGCACTTTCTAGCATTTCATAGTCCATAAATGGTTTTACTGTTTTCTTTTTTTGGTTTTTACAAAAATTGAACAGAAGAAAACTCAAATGTCAGTAATTCTGTGCACCATATGGGCCCTAATAGTGCATATGAAAAACACTGGTAGAGTAAGAAAGAATTCAGTGTAGAGAAACCGGGGAACGAGACGTGGTCCTCCCACCTCCTCTCCAGCACCTCTTATTGACCTCCAGCGTGGCCATGGACAAGGTCAGAGTAAGGTCAAAATGGGAGGTTGTCCTCCATCCTCCCGGGTGGCTGTGGCAAGGTCACAACTGCAGGATATTCTCTGTCCTCCAGGGTGGCTGTGTACAAGGTCACAGCTGCAGAGAGATTGCCCTCCATCTCCCAGGGTGGCTGTGGGAAAGAAAATCACACAGGTCTCTTTACTGAGAAAGCAACAGAGTGGTGCGCACCTATAGCCCCAGCAACTTTGGGTGCTGAGACAGGAGAACTGCAAATTCAGGGCCAGCCTCATCAAGTTAGCAAGATACTCCAATACTTAGCAAGACCCTGTCAAAATAAAAAAATACTAAGTGGCTGGGATCTAGCTCAGTTGGTAGAGCGCTTGCCTCGCATGCCCAAGGCCCTGGGATCAATCCCCAGCACCACAAAAGAAAAAAAAAAGGTCTGGGGATGTAGCTCAGTGGTAAAGCACCTATGTATGGGTTCAAGTCCCAGTACCCGCCCCCTCCCCAGGAAAACAAGAAAAAAGAAAAAAGCAGCATGGTACAGATTGGCCATAAGCTCTCCAGCCCCTTCACCTGCTGTCACCTGCCCTTCCCTCTCTAACCCCTCAAAGGTTGAAATGTTTAGAAAATTAGTCAGACCTGGCTGAAGGGGTCCTGCTCCAGGCAGCCAGGAGATGGGAAGGGTCAGCAGTAGGCCATCATGGCAAGGGATACCTCCTGGGGACAGAAGGACCACACCAGGTGGAGTCCACGTGCTGCTTGGAGTCTGGGGGGCCCCGTGTGCCAGGGGAGCCCAAGGCAAGAAGTGCCTGTGGTCAAAGCCGCACTTGTAAGTTTTGCTATTTGAAACATGGTAAATGCTGCGTTCCCTGATTTCCTTCCTGAATTCCAGGTGGCTTGGGTAGACTGCCATGTTCGTGTTTGGGTCCCCACTTTTAGGATGGTTTAAAATGACAGATTTGGTATTGTCATTTTGCCCTCTTTTCATTCAATGTAAACACAAGCAAATTTTGTGCTTGCTTGTTCTTTACCTAAAAATTCACCCTAGCGATCTTTCAAATCAAAACAGTTAAATATTGCCTGATTTCTTTTTTCTTTTTTAATATTTATTGGTTTTTTAGGTGTAGATGAACACAACACAGTGCCTTTTATTTTTATGTGGTGCTGAGGATCGAACCCGGGTCCCGCCCGTGCTAGGCGAGCGCTGTACCGCTGAGCCGCAATCCCAGCCCCACCTGATTTCTTTTAAAGCTTAGGGCCCGCGGAACTGGACAGTCTGCCCTGGTGCGTGAGCCAGCCGGGGCGTGTGAGCTGCCCGCGGGCCCTTGCTGCTCCTGCTGGGGTTTCAGGCACAACATTGTACACCCAGCTGGTCCTGGGCTGTTTGAGGCTGTTCGCTCCCCGACCCACCCGTGCCTTGTTCAGGGGTGCCCCTCTCCCCATGAGCTCCCCCAGATGGGCTGTGTTGACGTGCGCTAAAGGTAGATGAGGGTGCTTGTTTCAATCACGCGGTGTCCTGGCATCTTGACTAACATTCTGTCAAGATGGGCAGGAAGCCCTAGTCACCCCCTCCCTCCCTCTCCAACTTGTCCAGTTGGGTCACGGTGGTAAGTCATGGACGTCTGCAGCAGCTGGTGTCGCGGTTGGTCTCCAGTGGCTCTGGGGTGGTGCCAGTCCTGTGGCTGGTGGAGCCCAGACCTCCGAGGTCCCCTCACAGGCAGGCCGCATCAGGGCGTGGGCAGCTGGAGTGGGCTCTGGAGGGCCCAGCTGGCACAGCCTGGCCTCCTGTGTCCCCAGGCATGAAGACGAAACACGCGCTGCGCCACCACATGAAGCTGCACAAGGGCATCAAGGAGTACGAGTGCAAGGAGTGCCACCGCAAGTTCGCGCAGAAGGTCAACATGCTGAAGCACTACAAGCGGCACACGGGTGAGGCCCGCTGCCCGCCTCTGCCCCCAGTGGCCACTGAGGCTCCCCTGTTGTGAGCGCCAGGCCCCCCCTGGCTCCAAGCCCACAGGCAGGAGCACCAGGGCTGGTGGGTCTCTGATAGGTTTGGCCCGTGGTCCCAGGCTGTGTCACCCTCTGGGCACCCTGGAGACTGCAGAGGGCAGAGACACGCCCACAGTGTAGGAGAGCCCCCTTTCCACATCCTCCCGCATTTGCTCATGTTCTCGGGGTGACAGCCTTTCCCACTGGCGTGGGGTTCTGTCGTGCTCTAGTTCTGGCTTGGTGTCCCTGTGGCTCGTGACATTGAGCATTTTTGCATACATCTATGTCTGTCAGCACACTCGTCTGTGTTTTAATTGGATGAACTAGTTTTTGGTTCCTGTACCAGTGTCTTGAAACATCTGCTGTGTTTTCTAGGAGTTTCAGCTTCAGGTCTTACATTTCGGCTTTGGATGGAGTTTGACTTGATTTTCGTGCAGGGTGAGAGTTGGGTTGAGTCTTCCCTATCCAGCTTTCCCAGCACCCTTGATTGAAGAGGCTGTCCTCTCTCTAATCGGGTTCTTGGCATCTCTGTTCAGAGTCAGTTGGCGTAGACTGTGGGTGTGTTTCTCTCGTGTTTCTGGCTGGAACCTGCTGTCTCTGTGGCTCAGGGCCAGGCCTCCAGCTTTGGTCTTTTGCTCGGGATGGCTTTGGTAGTCTTTCACACTTCCAAATGAAGTTTGGATTCTGTCTTCTAGTTCTAGATTCTCTCTTCAAGTCTGACGTGTCAATGGAGTTGCATTGAACACTTTGGATAGGATGGACATTTTGACAGTGTTCATTCCTCCAGTCCATGAACATAGAATGTCTCCGTTTTTTGTGTGTATTCTTTAATTTCTTACATCGGTGTTTGTTAACGTTCTTTGTAGAGTTTTTTCTACTTCATGGTTAACTGTATTCCTGGGTTTTTGGTTGGTTGGTTGGTTGGTTTTCTTCTTCTCCCCCCACCTCCTCCCCTCCTCTTCCTCCTCCACCTCTTCCTCCTCCTTCTCCTTCTTCTCATAGCTGCTGTGAATGGGGTGGCTTTCATGGTTTCTGACCAAGTTTGTTGTTGGCTGTACATCTTTCGTGTTGATTTCACACGCTGCATCCTCGCTGAACTCACTCGTCGGTTCTAGAGGTCTTCCAGTGGGTCTTTAGGTTTTCCTGCATCGGCTTGTTCGATTTCCTCCTTTCCTGTTGGTGTGCCTTCTGTGTCTCGTCTTGCCTGACCTCCCTGGCTGAAACGTCCAGTGCTGTGTTGGATGAGCGCACTGAGAGAGGACACCCTGGTCCTGTTCCTGGTCTTAGAGAAATGCTTTCGGTTTCCACATTTGGTATGATGTTGGCTGTGGGTTGGTCGCAGGTGGCCCTCATTGTGCTGGGGTAGGGTCCTTTGACACTTAACTTTGCTCAAGGTTTCCGTTTTGAAGGGACGTTGAATTCCATCAAATGTCTTTTCTGGTCTATTAAGATGTTTATGTGCTTTTCACCCTTCCTTCCGTTGATGTGACGTATGACACGTATTGATTGGCATGTGCTGAATCGTCCTGCCTCCTTCACACCTGATTGTGGTGAGTGGTGTTTCTGTGTGCACTGTTGGACAGTAGAGATGACTGTGGTTGGCCGCAGCAGTCCTGTGGTCTCTTGGGCTCGGTGTATTTGTACCCTCCTTGCATTTGGTCTGGGTTCCTCTGTTACTTTTCTCTCCTCTGTCTCGTGTGCTACCTGGACTCAGTGGGGTGAGTAAACTAAGCCCTAAAGCAACTGCCACTGCTTCATACTTGGTGCTGCTCTGCCTCTGTGTTTTCAGACAGGCCTTTCTGCTTTTTATTTTTTAATATAAAATATTGCCCTAGAGGGATAGATTTTAAAGCCACAGTTTTCTGGGAGCAAGTTGAGTTTGAGAATGAGGACTTTTTGTTTACCACCTTCTGGCAATTTCCCTTCCCCCGGAGGCAGATGCTAGGCTGTGACACGGGCAGGACCTCCTTTATGTTCAGTGCTTCCTGCCTGTGAGACTCAGCGTGCTCTTCCCACAGGGATCAAAGACTTCATGTGTGAGCTGTGTGGGAAGACCTTCAGCGAGAGGAACACCATGGAGACCCACAAGCTCATCCACACAGGTGGGTGGTCTGCAGGAACGCCCTCGGCTGCACCAGCTGGTGAGGCTGGCACGGCTGCTCTTAGGCCGGTGTCCCCAGAGTGCTCAGTGTGAGACCCCTGCGACTTGAGCCCAGGATTTATTGGTGGGGCAGACAGGGGCCTTGAGCCGCCCGGTATTTGTGGGGCAGCACTGTGGGGGAGAGGCCTCCTGTGCTCCCCAAGGCTGACCTGGTGGGCAGCTCTTGCAAGAGGAGCAGTGAGCTGGCAGGCACAGGCTCTCCAGAGTGGGGTCAGGGGAAGGCCCCACGGGTGACCTGCACCTCTCTCTCCTCCTGCCTGTGTACACATGAGAAGTGGGCAAGCAGTGGACGTGCTCCGTGTGTGACAAGAAGTACGTCACCGAGTACATGCTGCAGAAGCACGTGCAGCTCACCCATGACAAGGTGGAGGCACAGAGCTGTCAGCTGTGCGGGACCAAGGTGTCCACCCGGGCCTCCATGAGCAGGCACATGCGGCGCAAGCACCCTGAGGTGAGCCTGGTGACCATCCCCCGCCCTCTGTGGCCTGGGGTGTGCCTCCCCTCTGCGGTACCTGGGTCTGTCTTGCTGGAGACCTGAGTTCCTGGGGCAGGGCCTGACCACATACCCTTGAGTTGTGCACCTGCGCAGGAGGAGGTGCCAGACGAACGGCCAGGACAGAGGAGGCCCAGGGTAACTCACACCAGTTCTAAACCATCTCTCCCTGGGTCACACCAGGTGGACGCCCTGCCCGCCCTCTCCCTGCCTCCTCCCATTGAAGTGAATAGTGTGCAAAACAGGAACCGTCAGAGTGCCGGGGTGGGGGCTCAGCCCAGAGGGAGAAACTGGAGAAGTGCGGCCTGGCCCCCCGAAAGCCCTCCTAGAGAAGGTCTGGGGGAGCCCGGCAGCGAGGTACGCTTCAAAGAAGAAAATGCAGGTGAATGGTCATCACCTCCTGGAACGGGAGACTTTCCCACCCAAAGTGGCAGAAGAAGTCAATAAACTATTGACTGCACCCACCCGAGGGCCTCTGTAGGTCAGAGAGTGCAGAGGCCAGCGGCAGACGGGTGCGCATTCCTGGTGATGATGCCTCCCGACGAAGCCGGGGGCCGCGTGCAGAGGAGAGAGACCCTGAGGGAGGGAATCACGTGGCCCCAGAAGCACAGCATAGCCTCCCTAGTCCTGAGCTGGAGGGGCGAGCGCAGGTGTCCCCAGCACCTGCTTGAGGCTCAAGGCCACAGGGTCCTGTGTGGAGGACAGGCCAGAGACGCCCTGCCCACCCTCGGTTGGCAGCCACCCAGAGCCTCTGTTCCCTTTCCAGGGTTACTTCCCTCAGGGGCCTGCAGGGCTGCAAACCCCCCAGACACTGTGGTTCCCACAGCCCATCCCATCTGGCCGCGTACCTCGTCAGTCTCTGTCTTCCGTCCTATGTGCTGTGTCCCCTCCTTATGACCTAATCAGTGCAGTCATCACAGAATGAGCCTGAGGAACGTGCGCAGGGGCAGGCTGGTGGTGAGGTGCTCACCCGCTGCTCACACCCAAGCTGTGGGAGAGCCATGGGCACAGGGGGCAAGTCCCAGTGCCAGCGTCACATGCTGAGGACACGGCTCAGCAGGGCAGATGGAGGAGAGGGGAGGGGCTGCACTCCGCCTGCCACCGAGCGACAGGTGGGGGTGAGGGTGCTCTGAGTGAGGAGCTGCCGTCCGGCCCCGGCCCACTGCACCTCACTTGCTCAGCTGCTCTGCGGGGCGCCAGGGGCTCTGGGGTCTCACTGAGAGCTCCCGTCACGGGGCAGCAGAGGGAGGATGCGGTGCCCGCCGCAGCTGTGCAGTCACGAGAGGAGGGAGCACCTTGTGCCAGCAGCCCCGCTGTGTGAGAGCCTGCAGGAACCTGGTCAGGGCTGGGCCTGGGGACCCTCCTGGATGGGCTGCTGAGTCTCAGGCCAGCACCCCACAGAGGGACTTCTCTGAGGGCCCCTGCTTCAGGGCCCCCACCCCTGTGTCTGTCGTGGGGGCTGGCCTCCCTGCTCACTGTCCCATGCCCCTGCAGGTCCTCGCAGTGAGGATCGACGACCTGGACCACCTGCCTGAGACCACCACCATTGACGCCTCCTCCATCGGCATCGTCCAGGTGAGCTGCACCAGGGCCCGAGGGCACAAGGGACTGAGGGTGCAGTGCATCGCCGCCCGAGTGCGTGCCACAGGTCCTGAGTGCAGTGCAGACGCAGGCCACTGGCTCCAGTGAGGGAGTGTGTGGCAGCCATGTCACTCGGCCTGAGCCGCGGGCAGCCGGTGGGAGGGGAGCCACTGTGACCACGCCTCGGCAGACGACTCTGGTCTGTCTGCCTTGGGGCGTGAGTCGCACGGGAGGGGCAGTGGGACCACACAGAGAACCTCCCCAGGCCCCTTGCTGCCCGGGGAGGATTGACCTGGCAGGAGGATCTGGCCACGGCCCGTCTCTCCCTCCACCCCTGCAGGGGGCATGTGGGATGGGTCCCCGGGAGCCGTCCACACAGTGGTCGTGGGCAGGCCCTTCGGACCGCAGCCTTCCTACAGGGGTCTCTTTCTGCCCTGGGGAGAGTCCTGCTGGAAGCCTGCCCCGTGGGCTGAGCCTCACCGCTGGCCTGCCGTGTGTCCAGGGCGGTGCAGGGCTGTCCTGGCCTGTCGTCGCTGATCCTGCTCTTCCCACAGCCTGAGCTGAACCTGGAGCAGGAAGAGCTGGCCGAGGGGAAGCCTGGGAAGACTGCCAAGCGCAGCCACCGGAGGAAGCAGAAGCCCGAGGACGGGGCACCGGCACCGGCACCCGAGGACACCGCCTTCAGCGAGTACTCGGAGAAGGAGGCCGAGTTCACGGGCAGCGTGGGCGACGAGACCAGCTCCGCGGTGCAGAGCATTCAGCAGGTCTGCTGGTTTCTCTCTGTAAGATCGGGTGCCAGGCACTCCTATGGAGGCCGCTTCCCCGGGCACAGCGTCTGCACGCGCAGGACACCAGCCCATCTGCAGCGTGCACCCCGCACACGTGGACTCCTCCTGGGTCTGCCCTGAGTCCTGCGGTCCACACTGGCCTTGTTCCCTGTAGCACGCCAGGCTCTGACCTCCACGTCACACTGGTCACTGTCAGCAGTAGCCTGACATCCCAGTGTGTGAAAAGGACGTCACCCTGGCTGGGGTCCCAGTGTGGGGAGACCCCAGGCTGCCAGTGCGTCCCCTGGTTGTGGAGGGGCAGTTGTAGGCACTGCAGGCCAGGTGGGCCCTCTGCAGGGGGAGGACAGGACGGGGCAGCTGAGCCCCTCCTCCCACAGAGCTCTGGCTGAGGCTCATCATGTTTGCTCCTGAGGCCCGCGTCTCTGGGGCCCTCCTCTGCCTGCCTCCCACTCTGGAGGGGACCCCTGCACTCGGCTGCCCTCTGTGCTGCTTAGGAAGGAGAGCCACCCTTGCCCGGCTGTGGGGACTGCGGTGTCGCGTTCTCCTCCTTACCCTGCGGTGAGGATATCGTGCCTGCTCCCCACCACTGTGGCAAAGTGCCCAGCAAAGTCGCTTAAAGGAGGGAAGCGTTATTTTGGCTGTGGTCTGAGGTTTTAGTCTATGGTCACTTGGCCATCACTTTGGCCTGTGAGGAGGAAGAACGTTCCAGAAGAACATCATGGTGTGGAGTTCAGGGGCAAGCTGTCACCTCATGGCTGCAGGGAAGCCGAGATGGGGTGTGGGGACAAAAACTCCTTCTAAGGGGCGGACCCCGCAATGACACGCTCCCTCCAACCAGGCCTCTCCTAAAGATCCTACCACCCCAAATAGTGCCACCAGCCAGGCGCTCCTTGGTCCCGAGCCTGGGGTGTCTCTGGGGAGCATTTCAGACCCAACCATGGCAGGTTCTCTGTGGCTTGCGGGCAGCAGGGCGGGAGGCAGTGCCTGTGGGAGGCTCGGCCTCGGTTTTCATGCTGGCTTCCTCTCCTGCCCACCTGGGCAGCCCCTCCCTGGAGTGTTCTGCCCCCTAGTGGCCTGGTTATTATTTGCTTCTTGTTTCTCTTTCCCAATGGAAATGATTTTTCCAGGACAAGATTAACTTGGTGTCTTCTTCACCAATGGCTGTTTGCCTCTTATCCTTAGCCAGGAGCATGTGACAACCCCAGTGTGACTGTGACCCTGCAGCCAAGTGCACTCTCGGGAGCCTCCTCCACCCTCCTCTGCAGCAAACCTCACCGTCTCTTGCTCTGTGTCACTCTTCCAGGTGGTGGTGACCCTGGGAGACCCCAATGTGACTGCCCCATCAAGTTCCGTTGGCCTGACCAACATCACCGTGACCCCCATCACCACTGCAGCTGGGACTCAGTTTACCAATCTGCAGCCAGTGGCCGTGGGGCACCTCACCACCCCGGAACGCCAGTTGCAGCTGGACAACTCCATCCTGACCGTGACCTTTGACACCGTCAGTGGCTCCGCCATGCTGCACAACCGCCAGCACGATGTCCAGGTCCACCCGCCGCCAGAGGCCTCCAGCCCCCAGTCTGTGGCCCACTTCATCAATCTGACCACCCTGGTCAACTCCATCACCCCCCTGGGGGGCCAGCTCAGTGAGCAGCACCCACTCACATGGCGGGCGGTGCCCCAGACAGACGTGCTGCAGCCGCCACAGCCGCCGGCGCCCCCACAGCAGGCGGCACAGCCCCAGGTCCAGGCCGAGCAGCAGCAGATGTACAGCTACTGAGCTGCCACCGCGACCGGACAGACCAGGGACTGGGGGTGTCTTGAGGTGTGTGTGCTGGATACCAAACAGAGCAAAGGTGCATACGGTGCGTGGTGCCTGAGGTGGACGTAGCTTTACAGACCGTCTCCAGGTACCCCAGCAGCCGTGGGAGTGTCGGCTTAGCTCCAGAAACGACCCGGCAGGCAGGGTTTGAAACTCGGTCCGTGCCAGATATGCCTTACCAAGGTCGTGCAGCCGGCCTCGGCACGCTGAGGGCAGGGCTGGAGAAGGGGCGTAGAGGTAGAAGCAGGTCCCCAGAGCGATGGTCATGAGGAGCGCGATCCGTTCCTTTTCTGTTTTCTTTGGAGCTCATTACTGTACTGAACACACAGTAGTCCCGGGGCAGCACACAGCAGAGAACACGGTTTTCTCCTCACTCCTGGATTTTTTTTGGCAAGTGAACAGATAGAGGTTGAAGTAACTTCTCTTCAGAATATGGCTTGAGTCCAGTTTGCCGCACGGCTGTGGACTGAGGCCACATGTGAGATGTGCCACAGTGACATGGGACTCTGCCTTTGAGTCCCTCACAGGCAAGGGGTCACGTGAGGCCACCCACCCAGGCACAAAAGACATATTGGGAATGTCCATCAATCCATTTTCATACGGTTTTTCATTTTCTTTTTTATTTCAAACGTGTATTCAAGACCTTGTTGTGGCCAACATTGTTTTTCTAACTTTAAAATGATGAAGTCGATTGCACTGTAGGACTGTCCACGTCCGATTCTGCACTGCTGCCCGTGCAGAGGCGCTCTCCCACAGTGGAGAGGTCCCTTCCAGAGGCTCCTTTGGAGTCGTCTCAGGATTCTCTGCCATCCAAAAGTATTTACTGTGGCTGAATCTCAGTCAGAGCCCTGAACAGAAGGACAGGGAAGAAATCCATGTCTTCTTTCTGTGTGAACCTCAATTCCAAAGGTGGGTGTGTCCGAAGACCCATTCCCTATAAAAAACGTTGAGCGATCAGGCTCTGGACAGGGAAGCGTGTGTGTTCCAGAAACACCGAGGACTCGGCTGCCTGCAGCTGGGAGTGGAGGCAGGCGAGGTTAGTCTAGCAGCAGATGCGTGGAATGCTCTTACAGCCAGCTCTGTAGGACACCCGTCACGCCCGCGTGCCACCCGGGGGTGAAGGGACTGGCTGGCCGACCCGCTGTGTGCAGCCAGCCGTGGTGGACGTGCAGGCGTGGGAGAGGAGCTGTCTTCAGCACTGCCTGTGAGGGCCAGCTGGCCTACTGTGACCAGGGAGGGGATCCCGCTAACATGGGCAGGAGAGCCTGGCTCTGGGCGCAGGTATGTGGGGCAGCATGGGGCTTTCCTGGGCTTCAGTTCATTCCCAGCAGCAAGCTTCTAGGGTGGCTCCAGAGCTGGTTTTGTGCAATACGTGCCCTCTGAGCCCGGAGCTGGTGGGCATGCCGAGCCCTGGCCCCCTGCCGGGCCCACGCGTGCCGTCTTGCCTCAGCAGACTCCACAGTGGGAGAGAGTTTGAATTCTTAATTTATGGTAGTTATTTTTTGTTATTTATATATATAAGGAACTGCTTCACGTGAGGTGGTTTCCCTCTTGGGCGAGGGTGGCTTGTTCTCCATTCTCCAGCCGCCCCTGGACTCGCCGGGAGAGCCAGGGTTCCTGAGCTTTCTCCCTAAACGTTAGTGCCAGTCTCTGCGTTTGCAGAGTCTCCAGGGCAGAACAGCCTGGCGAAAAGCCTGTGCAGGCGAGGCTGGTGACTGACCTGCACGGGCCTCTGTCCCTCATCCTGCTTCCTGGGAAAGAGAGGCCTTCTCAATTGTTCTGATTTTTTTTTTTTTTTTTACGGAGTTGTGTCAGGTGTTTCTGAAGAACCTGATTCAGGTCATGTGGCGCGGGCGCTGCCACTGTTGCTGAAACACAGAGGCAGCTTCTCCCCGGGTGGCAGGTGGACACTCACACAGCCGGACTGTCTCCCGGGCTTCTGTGGACACATGATCTTGATAGGGTCACGTCTGAGCAAGCGTGTTGTCCTAAGGCAATTGCTGTGAATCTCACAAGAAACTGGATAGTGAACAAAAGGTCCTTCCCAAAGAGTCCTCAAGGGCCGCTGCTCTGCCCCACACCCTTGTTATCCAGAGCGCTGGACTCTTTACGAGACCAGGGTGCACAGGGGTGTCTCTAAAGGAAGAGGCCATGTGGCCAGCGAGCCCTGCTGCCCATCTCAGTGGTGACAACTTAAATCATGAGGACGTGTTTGACCGGTGAGCTGGTGGAGCTGGTCTGCCTCTTGCAGGCAGAGCACAGGGTCCGCGGCCTGCCATGCGTCCTGTGCCCTGCAGGAGGGGCCCGGCCTCTGGCGCAGCTGTAGCGTGTGACGTGTTCTCTCAGGAAAGTGCTGTGCGCGTGCCCCACCCTGTGTCCAGCTCAGAACCGCTGGGCGGGTTGGCGGGGCAGATTCCAGTGCCTTGCCTGGTTCCACTGTCAGAGCCCACAGGCGGAGGCTCGTGGCTCCCGGCTGAAGGCAGCATGCGTGACCTTGTCATTGGGCTTCAAAGGGCATTGACTGTCCTAGATGCTGAGTGTCTTTCATGTCACATCATTTGTATAATGGTAAATAAAGGTGCTGTGACCTGTGTTCTCCATCGCTAGCCCTCTGCCTGCCACCCACAGTGACATTCTGACCCCCACCAGGGGTGACATCTTAATTTTCCTCCAGAAAGAGACGCCCGGAGCCCGTGTTGCCTCTTCTGAAGCCTGGCTTGGAGAATGGGCACAGAAAGATCCGTAGGCAGAAGGGACCCTGACCAAGGCATTCCTGTGGCCCTGCTGTCCTTGATCAATATTAAGTCACGTGTTCCATGTTAGTTCTGAAGCGCCTCCACGTCTACCTTCCTCTAGGGAAGGAGGGAGGAGGCACCGTGGGTATTCTAGGTGGCTTCTGGCAGCTGTCCCTTGGCAGATTGGATGCCTGCCACTGAAGACGCTTCCTTGTGTGTGCCCCGTGCACAGGGCTCTGCACACCGGGAACTTTCAGACCCTCCTGGGAGGAAACCAGTGATGCGTGTCCATCCCTGGCCACCGGCAGCCTGCATCTCTGCTTGGGACATGGACGAGGGAGAGCCTGCACTACCTCCAGCCAAGGGGTGGGAAGCACAGCAGTCCCAGTCCGTGAGTGCCGTCCCCACACAGCAGGGCCAGAGCCCAGAGGGGAGCTGGTGGGCCACGGCTCCTCTTGACCGTCTCCACGTCTGGTACAAGTGCACCGGCACAAAGGGGCCCTAGATCAGGACAGGGACTAACAAACTCACTGGTGAGGCAGTGCACTAGGCAGAATTATCCAGAGGTGGTCCTGGGTTTCCAGGATAAGGGGTTGACTGGGACCACCCTTCCCCCAAGCCTGTGTCCCTTCCTTGACCAGAGACCATTCCCTCAGTCCCCGGGCACCCCAGCTACAGGCAGCCGGCACCGCACGAACTGGCTCCTTAACCCTGCAGCCTGCGCCCCCTCCCAGCTGGTGTCCTCCACAAGGAGGGGGACCAAGAGGGAGAGTGCCCCTCACTGCTGCGCAGACCCACCCTGCATCTCAGATTCATCCTGGGCAGTGGGAGTTCCACAGGGGACCTGGGAACTGGCTCCCTCCCACTGTGTGTGGTGTCAGGTCTCCTGAGAGCTGGTGGCCACTCGCACAGCAGCCCGGAGCTTGGTCCAGGCTTGAGCTGCTTGCTTCTGAGTTTTAGACACAGACTGATAGCACGGTCATAAGGGAAGGAGGAGCTGACTCCGAGAGCCACAGGCTGCTCAGGAGCATCGGGCCCTGGGCTCTGCCACTCCTTTGTGAGCACCAGTGTCCCCCTGGTGCCTCTGAGAATAGCCCTGTTGGATACAGCCCACTCTCGGAGGGGACGATCTCACTCTGCATCTTGCTGCCCCGGTCTTGGCCCTGTGCTCCATCCCCACACTCAGCCACCAGCCCTGTCGTCCACCTGTGGGTGCAAGCCCAGCGTCACCCTGCATCTTCTTTCCACACTAATGTCCTGAGCATTTCTGAAAGTGTCCAGTTCCAGCACCTCCAGAACCCCCTGGTTCTGTGGTCAGCTGAAACCCCATAAGTGACTGTCCAGCTTCCCCTACCCCCCAGGATGCTTCATGCTTTGCCTCAGCCACCCTTGGACAGGCAGGCGTCCCGTATTGTCACCTACACGCCGAGCCAGATGATGGACTCCTGAGTGCCTTGCGTGCAGCACCAGGTCCTGCAGGCCCTAGGGCGGCAGAGAGGCTCTTCGGGAATGCTGGGTCCTGAGTACTCGGCAGCCCACCAGGACCCCCCACAGCCCCGGGCTCTGCTGGGTCAGCCCACCTCCTGGCTCTGTACCTTCCCTTCCCCTGGGTGAATGGCTGCTTGTCCCTCAAATCTCAGCCCAAACTCAGCAGCCTTCAGTTCCTGCGCTGATGGCTGCCTGCACGCGCTGCTGTTTATCCAGGAGCTCACTGTCTTCCCTCCGTCCTCCCTGCTGTGAGCGAGCTGCAGGAGGGAGGACTGTGTGGGCATTTCCCTGCACAGGGAGGGTTATCAGGCAATGGCAGGACCGACCAGGGGCCAGGCAGTCTCCCCTGTGTGGCCCTCACAGGCCGGCACTGTCCTGCACACTGTGCTGTCTGTTTCACACACAAGTGTCTTCTCACACCGTGTCTCCTTTCTCGAAAGATTCTGTTTCATCAGAGTAAAGTAGCTCATTTTTTCAGGAATAAAGAACCCTAAAATCTTAGCAGCTTAAGACAATAAATATTTCTCTCTTGCTCAAACTATGTGACTACCAGGAGCCGCATCATGACAGCCGCTCAGGGTCGGACAGTGGGACTTGGGACCTGGAGCAACTCCAGTCACGGTGCAGAGAGAAGCCCAGGCAGAGCACAGCAGCCTCAGCTGACCAAGGCAGAGTCCAGGGCCAGGCAGCCGAGCTCCAGGGCAGAGTGCTAGGGAGGATGGGGCTGCACAGGACCAGCAGAGGGCCCGGGACTCAGCTGAGAACTGACTGTGCGCTTGGAGGAGACCACCTATTCCCACCTTGCAGAGTCAGCCTCCTGAGCCTCCTAAGGTTGGATGGAGTTTTCAGGAAGTTTGCCTAAACATAGGGGAAGTTAGCCCTGCACCCCATCTGACTCCACCTAATATGACAGGGTTACAAGGAGCTAAGAGGTCCCGAACACAAAGAGGCAAGGACGTGAAATGCTAATTATTCTGATTGGTCATTACACCTGGTACTCAGGCATTGACTGTTCACGGGGAAGCCCAGAAATATGTGCAATGTCAGGTGTTAATTAAAAATATGAAGTATAATAAAAAGGAAAATCCTGTGGCCCAGCGCGTTGGCGTGTGCCTGTAATCCCAGCGGCTCAGGAGGCTGAGGCAGGAGGATTGCGAGTTCAAAGCCAGCCTCAGCAAAAGCGAGGTGCTAAGCAACTCAGTGAGAACCTGTCTCTAAATAAAATACAAAATAGGGCTGGGGTGTGTCTCAGTGGTCTAGCGCCCCTGAGTTCAATCCCTGGTTCAAAAAAAAAAAAAAAAAGGAAAATCCCATCGAATGAATCACTTCACAAGGATGCAATTTTTTCTTAGACAATTATATTTACACTAGTATCTGGGTTCCTTTTGACACAACTATACACACAAAGAATTTGATTTCAATCCCCCTTCCTCCTCTGCTCTACTGATCTCCCTTTCACTCCTCTACTTATTTATTTCTGACTGGCACTTTCTGCATGTACACAAAGGTGGAATCCCTTTGGTACATTTATGTGTGAGTGAGACATGATTCTGTGAGACTCGTTCCTTATTTCTTCCCCTTTCTCGTCCCTCCCCCTCCCCCTTCTCCTTCTACTCCACTGATCTTCCCTGTGCCTCTGTGAAATCCCACCCCCTCCCCAGGCCTCCTTTCCCTCATTTTGTTCCAACTTCCACAAGACAGAAAGCATTCCACCCTTGGCTTTCTGAGCCTGGCTTATTTCACTTAGCATGATTTTCTCCATGTCCATCCATTTACCAGAAAATGCCAAAATTTCATTCTTCTTTATGGCTCAGTGAAACTCCATTGTGTATATACCACACATTTCTGATCCATTCATCTATTGACGGGCATTTGGTTATTGTGAATTGTGCTGCTACAAAGATTGAAGTGGCTGTGTTGCTGTAGTATGGCAATTTTAGTTCTTTTGGATTAATACCAAGAAGAGGGAATAGGCTGGGTCATATGGTGGTTCCATTCTTACTATTTTGAACTAATTTGCAGCCCACCAATGATGTTATAAGTGTACCTTACCCCACATCTTCACCAACATTTATCATTATTTATATTCTGGGAACTGCCATTCTGACTGGAGATGAAATCTTGGCATAGTTTTGATTTACATTTCTCTGATCGCTAGAGATGTTGAATGTTTATTCATATATTTGTAGACCACTTGGGTTTCTTCTTCTGAGAAATTTCTGTTGGGTTCCTTTGCTTTAGTGATTGGGTTATTTGCTTTTTGGCATTGAGTTTTTTGAGTTTTTTATATATTCCGGATATTAACCCCTTGTCAAGGGAAAGCTGGTAAAGATTATATATCCATAGGCTCCCTTCTCCTTCTTTCTTTCTTTCTTTTTGTATTTATTTTTTAGTTATAGGTAGGCACAATATCTTTATGTTTTTCTCTGTGGTGCTGAGGAGCCAACCCAGTGCCTCATGCATGTTAGGCAAGCACTCTTCCTCTGAGTCCCAACCCCAGCCCTCTCCTCTCTTTCTTAATCATTTCCTTTGCTATGCAGAAGCTTTTGGATTTGATGGCATCCCACGTGTGGATTCTTGGTTTTATTTCTTGGTATTCTGGGGTCTTGTTGAAGAAGTTGGTGCTGCATCTCTGTGATGCAGTGTGGCCCTGTGTTTTCACCAGCATTTGCAAGCTTTCTGGTCTCATTCCTAAGTCTTCAATCTATTTTGATTTGACTTCCTTGCTGGGAGGAAGACAGGAGTCTCATTTCATTCTTCTACATGGAGATAACCAGTTTTCCTGGCACCATTTGTTAACAAAGGCTATCTTTTCTCCAATAGATTTTGGGTTCCTTTATTAAGTATTAGGTGGCTATAAGCATGTAGGTTTGTCTCTGGGTCTTCTATTCTATTCCGTTGGTCTTCTTGTCTAGTTTGATGCCAGTACCATGGTATTTTTGTTACTAAGCTCTGTAGTATAATTTGAGATCAGGTATTGTGATGCCCCCGGCCTCACTTTTCTTATTCACAATTGCCTTGGCTATTCTGGGTCCCTGATTCTTCCTCATTAATTTAATGACTTTTTGCTAGTTCTGTGAAGAATGCCATTGATATTTTGATGTGTAATGCGTATTGCGTTGAATCTGTATATTGCTTTGGGTAGTGTGGTCCTTTTGACAATATTAATTCTTTCTATCCAAAAACATGGAAGGTCTTTTCATATTCTGAGGTCTGCAAGAATGCAATTTTAAAGAAAAAAAATTGAAAAGATAAAATCGTGTCCAAAATACTTAACTAAGTCCCAGAACAAAATTCAAGAATTTTTATTTAAGAATACAAAAAATATGATGATCAACTTTGTAAATTTCAGAATGGCATCAAATAAAACATCATCAG